TAAGACAATCCTTTCGGCGCTTATTCTAGAGCAAAATGTTACAAAAGTAAGTGAAATATTCTTAGGACAAGAATACAATCTTTTCGGTGTAAAAATTTAATTTCCAAACGTCATGCCGTACTCACGCAGCGTAAGGATCCGAATCTCATACAATGCACTCTGGACGCAATTAACTTCACCATATTTGCAAGAAGAGACCACGATTGCAGTCTAGCGGCCAGTGTAGTCTATATTCGCCCCGGTGTGTCTCTCGCTAAAATATTTGAATACCCGTGCACAGAAACAAGAGAATATTTTTACTCTACACGCGACATTTGTTACGTATACAAATCGTAGATCACAAGTTGTCTGCGATGCGTCACAACTTTCGCGAGGTACCGTTTTGTTTTGTACAAACAATCTGCGATATCTCTCTCTCTCTGGCAGCGAGGACTACGAGAGACTCGTGGCCATATCGCGTCAGGTTGGCGAAGAGGCCGCGCACAGGTTATGACGCGACATAACCTGCAAGTACCTGCGAAACATGCGTCGCCCGGGGGCCCCGAGGCTCTGAGAACAATTCGCTGCGATCTTGCTCGCGCGTATGTCAGCTCGAGTGTCGCGTTTACGCGGGGCCGCCGTGTGACCGCCGACACGACGTCTTCTTCCTTCCTCACCGCCTTTGCCGCCTCGCCATGAAATTCGCCGAACACCTGAGCGCACACATCACGCCGGAATGGAGAAAGCAGTACATCAACTACGAGGTGTGCCGTCGATATTGGAAGACACAGTCTCTACAGTTTTCTTCACGTTTCACACACGCGTGGCATTCGCGTCTTTTATATTTTATGCGCGTGCACAATCGTCTCTATTTATCTTGCTTCTCCTCTCCTTCCGCTTCTGCGGCATTCGTTGTCCCAGACAATTTGCCGGAGGTTGACGTATTGTTATTTACGTTATGCAATTTTATGTATAGGAAATGAAGGCTCTGCTATACGCTGCGGTAGAGCAGGCTCCGTCAGCCGATGTAAGCGAATCGTACGTTTTAGACAGCTTCTACGGCAAGTTCGACGAGAAGTTTTTCCACTATTGCGATAAGGAACTGGCGAAGATAAATACCTTTTATTCTGGTAAGAGCGGTTGACACTTGAAATTGACCCATGTAACGTCTTTATGAAAGATACCGATATAAGAGCCGTTGAACATGAGACGAACAAGAGGTTTTGTTTTTAGAAAAGCTGGCAGAAGCCACACGAAGGTTCGCCACGCTCAACAACGAGTTGAGCGAAATTCTGTCGGTCTCCGACGATGCCCAGAGTCACAAGGCGCGCTATCGCCGCCACATCCTTCACAAGAAGCCAGTGTCGGCGCGCAAACTCCAAGAGCTGAAACTGGCCTTCTCCGAGTTCTATCTCTTCCTCATTCTGCTCCAGAATTACCAGGATCTGAATTTCACGGGATTCCGAAAGATCTTGAAGAAGCACGACAAAGTACGTAGACCCGGTTGACTTTGCACTCACAATTTATGCGTGTAACTAAATGCAGAATGAAGGGATTCAAGAAACTGCGCGAACTCCGCACGATCGGCAAACGCGAGGAGATACCAGGAAATACACACGAGATACGATGTTTTGTAGCTTTTGAACGTGGATTTTGGTGGCAAATGGCGCGCGGAACATGTCGACACAGCGATTTTCCATACGCGCAAGGATATCGATAGGCTGATCGTGGAGACCGAGGCTGTGGTGACTCGAGATCTGGAGCATGGCGATCGTCAAAGAGCTATGAAGCGGCTCAGAGTCCCTCCGCTCGGGGAGCACCTCTCCCCGTGGATCACATTCAAAGTTGGCCTTTTCTCCGGCGCTTTTATCATACTTTTTGTAGCTGTGATATTATCCGGTAAGCAGACCGAATCTTTTCGCCTCTCACTTGCATTACATTGACTTTGTTGTTCTCAGCTATGCGATACAAGAAAAAGGATAACTGGACGGTGCTGTGTCGAATTTATCGTGGACCACTTCTTATGATAGAGTTCCTGTTTTTGATGGGAATTAACGTTTACGGCTGGAGATCTTCTGGCGTGAATCACGTGCTGATATTCGAGCTTGACCCGCGCAATCATTTGTCAGAACAGGTTTTTGTGATGGATAAATATTTTATAAATTGCAATTACAATAGTGACCAACTTTAAAGCACTAACATTAACGCGTTCTACACGTTTCTTCTTTCGTAATTTGTTCTTTCATAACCATTATTAATAAAATTTACATTAATTTACATTGTTATAATAATCGGTATGATGTTATGCTTTGTTCGATTTTATTGTAAATTGTTGGTGTCGCGAAAATCCTATATTTACTTTCAGCACATCATCGAAATGGCAACCATTCTCGGTCTGGTATGGTCCATGTCTATCCTGGGTTTCCTATATAGCGACACATTGGGCATACCACCGTTTGTTCAACCAGTGAGATTACGCATATTTCCACAAGTCTTTACTTTCGAACTTTTGCGAGAAATTTACCTTAAGGCGTCAAATGATCTTCCGTGGCGTGGAAAAATTCTTCATTCCAAGGAATTGCTTGCAGATGTTGTTTTATGCGCTGTTGGCATTATTCCTATTCAATCCCACCAAGACTTTGCGACACGAGGCGAGATTCTGGACTCTACGCGTTCTGGGACGCGTGTTCTGCGCACCGTTCTTTTACGTGGGCTTCGCGGATTTCTGGCTCGCTGACCAGCTCAATTCTCTCCACACAGTCTTTCTAGACTTTCAGTATTTCGTCTGCTTCTATGTCCAGAATTCTTTTTGGACTGACGTTACAGGTCAGTAATTAACTGGATACGACGAGTCATTTACGCTTGTAACGCATTGTAACATTTTTATTATGAGCTACCTTAATTCTCATTACGTTATATTAGATTTATATTTTCATCTCTAATTGATATACGATATCTAATGTACCCACATTTATCTCGTTTCAGATACGGATACTTGCATAATGCGTGAACTATCGATGAGACCGTTTGTAGTATGTTTACCGGCGTGGTTTCGATTTGCACAATGCCTCAGGCGTTACCGAGACACGAAGGAAACTTTTCCGCATCTGTTGAACGCGGTTAAGTACGCGACAAGCTTCTTTGTGGTTATTTTCTCCTACCTGCACTTAACAAACAAGGGTGAGTATTCTGCTCACAATTAGCATATAAAATTAAATACTGTCCATTTCTCAAATTGGCCATTCCACAAAATAGATTACTATGCATTGTCTACCGAGAATCCCTACTTTTACCTATGGCTGACAGTCAGTATGGTGAGTTCCTGTTTTACATACGCGTGGGATGTAAAATTGGACTGGGGTCTCTTCGACAGCAGCGCTGGGGAAAATAAATTCCTCAGAGAAGAGATAGTTTATTCATCACCTGTATGTTTCCTTTATATTATATTTTATTATGTTACGCGTACAAATATTAATGTTCACTTAACTAATGATTTATTGGACTTTTTTTATATTGCAGTATTATTACTATTTCGCGATGGTCGAAGATTTTATCTTGCGATTTGGATGGGCGTTTTCCCTCTCTCTAACAGAGATGGGATACATTCACGCGGACCTTATGGTTTCCATAGTTGCTCCGTTAGAAGTCTTCAGGTAAATATGTGCCGCCATTCGTGTTTCAATCTTGAATGCACGTGGAATATGTTAAAATCGCTGTGAAAGATATTTGTTTAAATAATTATACTAGCTTGATAAATGCAAGTTGTTGATTTCTCCGTTGTTAGGCTTGATAAAGTATTAATATTTATGTTTATGGTTTGCACGCACTGTACGCACATAATCTTCAATTATATGTCGATACTTTAAAAAGTAAAAGCCCGAAAATGATATACATGTATATGGATGGAGGAACGAGTTGTTTCGTTTTTATTTTTCACCTCGTAATAGATAAAAGAAAAGAAAATTATCCTTACATTTCTGCTCTAGATTGCCCTACAATATTGACTAGGGCTCGGATTTTATTCCGTTTTTCGAATAAACGTTTAAACGTGAAACGTTTATCCGTTTACATTTTCTTCCAGAAAAACGTTTATTTGTAGAAAAACGTTTACACGTTTAAACGTTTAATAAACGTTTAGTAAACATTTAATAAACGTTTACACGTATATTAGAGCCTAGTAAACGTGTAAACGTTTGTTAAGTAAAAACACGTGTATTCGGAAAAACGTTTTTAATAAACGGATAGCTAATTATACGTATAATCGTGTTTCCGTTTAAACGTATAATAGCGAGCCCTAATATTGACATATAATAAAGAATCTATTTCTCGTATTACTCGAAATTCCCTCCAGTGATCCTACGTTAATGTCGTTTGCACTCTATGTAGTAACAAAATAATTGATCGTCGAAAGTCAAAAGCAGCGACTTGATCGACGATAGACCGGCCAGTCTAATCGCTTATCAATGTGCCTTACTAATAAGTCGCTAGAAGGTTCATCTGGAATTACTTTCGACTGGAGAACGAGCATTTATACAACGTAGGCAAGTTCCGAGCGGTGCGAGATATCTCCATAGGCCCCATCAAACGCGACGAAGGCAATCTCAGAAACACGGTCCATCTGATGGACAGTGTAAACGAGAATGACAACAGCGGGAATGACGATGATGGATTAGTGGAGACCCGTGATCACGATGTCTGATATGTTGTAATTTATTTCTTTATTTTTTACTTATGCTTATATTATACTTATGTACGTTTAACTTCGATATTGTATTTTTCAAAACTTAATGTAATATTACTCAATTTTTACTGCACAATATTGCTTGATTATCGAATGCATTATGATTATACCATCATGCAATTGTTTGCACGTACATGAACTTCTTAGCAAATGTATATTACAAATATTTATAATATACCATATAGAATCGTTACAGTAATTGGAAGAAACTGGGCCAGCCTGTAATCTGTACGTTTGCTCGACAGACGTTTCGTGTGGAACTTCTTCCGCTTGGAGAACGAGCATTTGAACAATTGCGGAAAGTTTAGAGCAGTGCGGGACATTTCGGTTGCACCAGTCGACTGCTCGGATCAGACGCAGATATTGCGAATGATGGACGCTTCCGACGGCGTAATAAATCGCAGGCGTAGGCAAAATGTGGACGAAAAGCGCAAACCGATTCGGTTGCTTGTGAAGGACGAGTCTGTGGACGATAATTAAGGCAGTATGATCGTCGATTTGGCATAGTTAAATTTATGTGTAGCTAAATCGATTTTTTGTACCGCCTTGTAACTTAAACTTTTTGTTTAAAATTACGATGGCTGATCGTACTAATAAAAATAGAGGATAAAAGAGATATGAGAATTTAGGAAAGATGCAAGATGGCGAATCGTCATTTATTTCGCATGTAATTAACTGTGTTAGTCCATCGATACAATTGAAGATTACAATTATCTGTAAATAAATAACGATTCGGTTTAATTTGAAATCGAAAGCGAAATCAAAAGGATTCGTAAAAGTCAAAAGGACGAGACTGTACCAAACGCTAAGGACTGATGTACTTTTGCTTCGATTACTATCTGTACCTCAATAAAATAAATGATTGTTACCAAATAAAACGTTGTGTTTTCAAAGCAACACTCAGGCATGTATCATCTCCTTACTAAACATTTGGATACAAAATATCCAAATTAATTCGAATGAAAGTGTGCCTTGGTATTACTATCGAGATTTGACAATGTTCTTTTTCTCACAATAGTTTTGGCGCATAACGAATCCATCAACATCCACCGATGGACGATGCAGCTAACGAGCTATTATAAAGTGTATTGTCTACTGGAAGGACAGAGAAGCATTTCTACCGATATTCAGCGGATGAACCAAAGGGTGAACGTCCTAACAGAGTGAATCGGAACCGCGGCAATCTTGTAAACGGAACAAATTCTCATATGTGCGGATGCGGGTGTGCAGAGTAGTGGGAGTACATGGCAGCTGCTTAATGACACCTAATGCGCCCATACTAATCGCCGGTGCGGTACGCTGACGACAGGAGGAGGAGGAGGAGGAGGAGAAGAAGGAGGAAGAGGAGGAAAAATGCGTCCTCGAGGAACGCAGCGCGGAATACTCGCGCAACGTCGGAACAAGACGAAGCCGGTGTGGGAGGGTGGAAGTCGGTGTGGTGGTCGTTATTGATTGAACGCAGAGCCGCACTAATCGCGCAAGCTCGTCGTCCGCCCTGAATGAAGTGACGTGCTCTTTCGCATATGGAGACGCGAATAGAGGGACGATAAGATAAGACCTGTGCAGGGCCCTCAACAGCCGACCAGCAGTGACGACGACGACGAGGATGCTCCTTCAACGGGGCTGCACTTGGCTGACGTTGATGCCGCTCCTGTTTAGCCTGTCCACCGGCGAGCTCAGCTTTTATCGGGGTGAGCAAGGTAGAGTCTACGGCCTTAGGAGACAACGTCTCCAGGGGGAATGACACGGAGAAGACCCACTTGTAGCCCTTCGAAAATAATCGTGTTTTATTTGCAATTAGCAAGGACTGATCGACTGAATGTTGAAATACAATCGATTGCCTGTTTCGCGCAAATATATTCGCTTGATCGGTTTGCAAAGAAGAAAATATGTTAAGGGGAAAGGAATCTTTAACTAGGCTGTATTAGATTTTTAGATTTTTTTGGATATATACAAAAAAAATTGTTCTCTCCGTGCAATATTAGTTCAGAATTTTGATGCGGAAAGAGGTAAAAGAGATTAAAAAAGCTAAAGCTGAAAACAAATACGACTGAAAAGCAACGCCACACTGTATTATCGTTGTGCTTTTAGGATTCTCTTTGATCATTGATAAAAATATATCATCTCATTTTATCTCGAATTTTATTTGGAATGGAAATAATTTTAGAATCCTGTTTCTTTCAGATTCTTTTAAATAAAGACTCAGTACAAAAATTTTCGAATATATAATATGAAAACTAATTATATAATTTGACTGTGTAATATTGTACAATGTCAAGAGATTCCTTTCTGGTTAATTGCATGCACGAGAATAATGAACGGATAATCCGAGACGATCCATAGTGTTCCCTCGAAGCGTAATTAAGACCGTTTATAAATAGAATTTCAAGTAAATTCTAATAGCATCGCAAACAATTCCGCAATTACTCTTGACCTTCAAAATTGCGGAATCGCTTGTGATGCTACTAGAATTTGCTGAAAATTCTACTTATAAACGGTTCACACATAATGAAGTTTAAAAGCATAGAATTTTACGAACACACGTCTACATGTAGGAAAATTTTACAAAAGTACAGGCAATTGTACTAGACGGTGTTATCACGTAGCGACAGTATATCTTGGCCGCAGGAAACCCGGTTGCATATACATAACGAAAGCGGCAGGAAGTTTGGCGATAATAGTCCAACGTTGGATACAATTTAACGGTCACTAATTCACGATGTTTTAGTTTATATTTATTGGACCGAAGCTAATATGTTGAAACTTGCATCTATTGTTTGATACTGAAGACTTTATATATTAAGAAGATTTATATATTAAAACTAGTTTCGTATTAGAATAAAGCTGAGTAGGTTGTATTAACAAGCGGCATTAAACATACGGTTTCCGTTTGTTCAAACTAAACGTGATACATATAGATGCGCTCCCGGAAACGTCGGAGGATGCTGCGTTGAAGCACCTGGCTCGCTATCTGGAGACGCGGCTCCAGCAGCAGCGTCTTCATCAGTCGCACCTGCCTACGTTCCTGTGGCCGATGCACAAGAAGCACAACAATCTGGATCGCCAGGAGGAGCGCTTCCTAAAATTTCTGGCCGAAAGGCAAATCACTCTGGACGACCTGAAGCAGTTCTTGGTAAAGAACTTCCTGGCGCATCATTATCGTGTGAATCACAATCCGATCGCCGATCAGATCTCAGATCGAGAACCGGAGTATCTATCTTATTACAATTCAGATCTCAAGCGTCTGGCTTACCCCGAAGAGAAACAGCCGAACGAAAACGACGACCGTTTCCCTAAGAACATAAGGCAAATTTTCGATGAGGATAGAGAGCTCTCCTCCAGAGATATCGACTTTATACTAGACATTTTCCGTGACAAGTCGGATCTCAATGGGATGGGAACGCTGCATTATGAGCGTGGAAGGGAGGCAGTACCTATGCGCCCGGCAACGGCAGCGAGCGAACCAAAATTCACGTTTAAGTTCGACGACTCGAATCTCAAAGAGAAGCACCCATTTGCGGTAAAGCCGAACGATCCCAGATATTACGGCGAGGCACCATTTTCGTCGGGTAAAACATTCATTAATTTGTCTTTTATCGAGATCCTTTAGAACGCTGCCTTTTTAATCCAATTTGAAGCACACAGTTCTGAAAAGAATACAGAAACTATTGAGAAACTATCTGCACATTTCGTATCTCCCCGGAAAAAATTACGCAAGCTTCTCCGATCTTAATTAAAAAAATAAATAATAATTGAGTACAAAATAAAATAGATGAAAAACAATTTATTATTTATTTAGTTTTTCATAGAGCCAACTGGAACAAATATCGAGTAACTACGGAATATATTGTTACTTTTTAATGTGTTTTTCTGGAAAACTTGAGGTTACTAGTTAAACCGTTCTTATTCATCATTTTTCAAATTTAAAATTAATTTTTGTCTCACAAGATCCCCAATTTCCTTTTGCAGATTCCAATCTGAAAAACATTACCCTAGAGTCTCGGAAGAGTTAAATTACGTCAGTCTATATAAGCATCGATAATTCCTCTGCTTATATTTAGCCCCTTCTTTTTTTAAACCCTCCCTTTTTACAATCACTTTGACCTGCCGATAAGTATAGTTTCTGTCAGCTGCCTTTTGTTTTCTACTTCTTAAAGTTCATGAATGGCATTAAACTCTTTTCAATTTATGCTACTCGTAGACGATTTAGATTGGCAAGACGCGTCGAGAGTGAATTGGAAGGAAGAAGAGACTGCGGATAAAGAGCGAATATTGATGAAGCACGAACACGACTTGCGAAATCAGGAGACGCCTCAGGACTTGACCGCGAGACTCGACGTATCGGAACCGGAAAGATCTGCGGGACGTCATCCGGTGATCGTACCCGTAAATCACGACTTCAACAATGACATTTATTTTATCGGTAAACAATGAAAGCGCAATGCAAGTTATAAGAGAATTATTCGATTTTGTTAATCAACGCGATTAAACGTGATGTTTGATTTTCAGCAATTGTGGCCGGTTGCAGCGCAGCTGCGATGTTCGCTTTAGTATTGATCAGTTTAACGTGGTGCAGGTAGTGTCGCTCACACTAATTCTTCACTTACGATTAGTAGCATATTCTAGAACGTCTCAGTTTCTCGTGGAATCTTACTTTTCAGGCTGCAACGCGGTGCGAAAGCTGCAGCGGACATAGAATATCCTGCTTACGGTGTGACAGGACCGAATAAGGACGTGTCGCCTTCCGGCGACCAGAGACTCGCTCAGTCCGCCCAGATGTATCACTTTCAACATCAAAAGCAACAAATTATCGCTATGGAAAAGTAAGTTCAAGATCTACCATATACATACATGTACAGGGTGTTAAAAAAAACCATTCAATATCTATATGGTAGATAGGACACACCCTCCCTATTAATGATTAGGACACATTTCTCTTTAAAGATAGTCTATCGAAAATATTTTGTGCGACTGTTAAAAAATCCCATTATTCCATAGAAACTTTGAGAATAACAAATAACATTTGTTGTAGCCGCACTTCTGCAACGAGGGACCCGGGTTCCCTTTCGGAAGCGGAGAGCGATGAAGAAAATGAAGAGGGAGACTATACCGTCTACGAATGTCCAGGACTTGCATCTGTGAGTTGCGCGTTATAAGCAATCATAATTCCCACCTCGAAGCTCAGAATTTTGTCGTTAAGAGCGATTTTCGATGTTACACTTACGATGATTTTCGTGTGTTAAAGACGGGCGAGATGGAGGTGAAGAACCCGATGTTCCACGACGATCCTACCCCGGCGACGCCGGCGGCGCAGAACAACAAAAAAGAGGACCACATATAGTTCCAATAAAGTAGAGAGAGTAAAAGCCATACGCGCGCGATCTGAAATCTTTCCTGGTGCTTAGCCCACTGTTAATGTACCATATCGGAAACGTTTATCCATTATATTGAGTGTATACAATTTTAATATTTATACATATATGGCGCGATACGTTTCACGGAGAAGGAAAGAGAGGGTAGAGATCGGTACTAGAACGACCGACGTCACTTTTCGTTTCGGAAGTAAAACACAGAAGCGTTTACCTACATAATGAATACAATCAGAACACGACGAACGGGTCAACAAGGGTGCGTCTGCGACTTTATGCGGGTGGATTTAGTAACCTGCGGTTTGTCGTGATCGCATCGTCGAGTCGGTCGAATCAAATTGATCTTGCGAAACGTCGACGGTGCGCTTTTTCAAGAAAATTCAATCCTAAAAAAAGAAACACCACTCTTTTTAGTTATATTACGAGATATATATATTGTGAAAGACGACAGTATTTACACCCTTACAGTCTTTTACAGTCTTTTTACAGTTTACAGTCTTTTTCCCTGCATCAGGGCGACGTCAGGTTTCCCCATCACCGAAGCGTCACATTGTTTTCTCGCGATTTCACGAGCGGAAGTAAAAACGGAATTCGAATGAGGAGTGAATTAATCGGCGATCGAAGCCGCGTCTTTGCAAGAACACCCAGTTTTCTAATGTCGCGACGTACATATAGTTTGTACTTTCATAGTAGGAGCAGGTTGCCGCACGATCGCAATTATTTTTCTATGACTCTCGTCACCGACCGCGCGCACAGTTCGGATATCTGATGAGCACTTGACAGATATTCGATGGATATATTGCGGTCCGTCGGATATGCGTGCTGTGCACGAGCGGCCGATATACCAAGGTCCATCGTCCGAGATTACACTCCTTTGAAAGTAAAAAGACAAAATGAACCGCGTTAATTTGGGACGGTCTACGATTCTTGCGGAAGCTATTCGAATCTGTTTAGTATTGGTCGGACGCATATGGAAAGTTATACAGTATTATTGTATAATTACACGATTGTATGTCACGAAATCTTAACTCTTATACAACTGTCTTAGGGTATACAAGCGTAAGTACCACACTAAAGCCGTGTGTTCCGCAGAATGTATCAGTTTTAACACACACGCGGGGAACAGTCGGATTGTTTCTATCACAGAGCAAATGTCCCCGTTTAGAACTGCAAGGAGATTGTGACGGGAAGACGTTATAGTTTGAATTTGTGCTATATTATTTCTATATAGATATATTAAACGACGGCAGACAAAACGAGTTTCTGGTAAACTCGCTTATATAAGTGACTACGTACGTTTCACTGAAATCTTTGCTATAAAAAGTTTCCCCGATCTTTTAGAAGAGAAAATTAATTAACCGTCTCGAGCTTTGTATTATATTCTCCGATTGCTTACAATGTGTGCTAACCATAAGTGGCGATACAAAGTAGTTTTGTCTGAGCTGAAGCAAATTGTTTGAAAGTATATACTTGTTACGTTTTATTATTCTAATCTAAAGTAACAGTCCGAGACTCTTCTGCTTTGTGTGATACAAGAAAGTCAATAGCATGAGCCGTGCAACATACGAATTAAAGTAATCGAGGTTTTCGTTCTTAAAAAAAGAAAAGGAAGCGTTTCTTTGCGAATAGTGATCGGGAATGCGAGGAAACTGTTCTCTTTCGACAGTTGCCGATAGATATATTACATGTACACTTGCATACACACGACACACGCGCATAACATTTGTTGGCTTAAAAGGACAATATATTTTATTTTTCTATGACAACGGTCATTGTTAGCTGTGTAAAGAGACTCTATATCGCTATTAATCCTAAGTCGGGCGCGGAGCTGCTGTTTATTTTAGCGAAATGTTAAATGTCTATTTAACGCAAGGATACGACGCAGAGCTAAGGCGGGAGAGACGTATGTCCGTCTTGCGTTGTAGCTGTTGCAAAATTCCTCTTCTATTCGCCGTTTTACGCTAACAATACAGGCATGTGGCACAAGATCTCCAAGTGGTATAAAAAGTTCTTCCTTTTTCCCGCCGCTACCTTAGCTTACCTTTAGTGCGTTAGCTGTTAAGCGATTGGTGTACCTTAGCTGACGAAGTGCGACAATATGTTGGAGCATGAATATACGTTTCTAGTCCTGTACACTGCGACATATAAGGAAGAAATTATTACACGAGTACACTGAGCGCGCATTAAGCGGAGAGAACACTATTACACGAGGAGACAATCTGCGTTGGCGTGTAGCGATTTGTAGCATGATTGTGCGCGCTGTATCTTAATCCGGGGAGTAGCGACTTATTTGCCCGTCGAATTAAACTTGGTCCTCGATACCCCACTGAAATTACGAGCTCGTCTTGCAGCCGTCTACCTAATTGTATGCGGATTACACGCGTTGTCATTACTTTCCACGTCTATCAATCAAAAAAAAAAACGCTAGCGTAAAAAGAAAAATATGCAAGTTATAGATGAATGTATTATTATTTTATTAATAAATTGTTTATTTTATAAAGTGTCTACCTTCATACGCCGGCGCGGTGCGGCCGGCGGGGGCGGCGGGGCAGGACCGGCCGGGAGTGAGTGATCGGGTGGCGCGCGAGGAGGTGGCGAAGGAAAACAACGGGCTCTCGTTAGATACGTGTCGCGGGTGTGCTCGAGAGCGCGCGACAGCGTAAGCGCGGAGAAGGGGCCGAACGTTCGTACCGCTGCACCCCGTCCCCGCTTGACCTGCGCACGAGACGCGCCACAACGGCTCTCCGCTGTGTTTCGTCAACATTGGACTGCATTGGACCCGCTCGCGCTCCGCTGTGTCTGGCCGCACTGACGCACGGCTATGCGCCCGTCGTCAGCCGTTCCGTAGCGCGTCGTCCACGTTGCAGAAACGCCCGTCGCCTCGTGAATCGCTCTCGGCCGGTGTTGCCCACCGCGTAGACGACGGTGTCGGGAGCCCGAGCGCGGCCGCGGCCGCAAATTCCGAGCGGCTCCATCTTGCGCAACGTCCCGAGCCCGGGGGAGCGTGAAGGCGCGTTATCGCTATCGGCGACCATGTCGACGGCCGTCAACGACACCGAGGAGTACTACTGCTTCCGGGTGAAGGAGAGCACCGACAGCGAGCTCGACAACAGGAACATCGTCATCCCGTGCTCGTACAACTTCGACCTGAAGAAACTGCGTACGGAGCTGGTGAGTGTCTCCCCGCCTCCCCTCGCGCCGCACCGGGCGCCAGGACGCGGCCTCGGGTTAAGCTCAGCCTCCCCCCCCCCTCCCACCGGTTTTTCTCGATTACGCGCTGTCCGAGACTGGATCTTCCCCCGAGGTCCGACGCGTCCGAGGCTGGACAGCGCGTCAATCGCGATCGATCGACGAGTCCCCGTTTTACCGTTTACGGTTTCTTTTCCTCCCCCAAAAAATGTCCTTTTCGTGTCTGTGCAGTGGCGGCAGTTCGGAGTGCCCAGGAACAGACGCATCTCCTACATCGACGACGACGGGGACGATGTCCCAATCGATTCGGAATGCGAGTTTCACGAGGCGCTCAAGGTACGCGCGCTATATGTATATACGCGTCTATGCGCGCATCTATTTCTGGACAGTCACGTCTCGTTGCGAGCAGCACGTCCAAGTGCGTTACGCATTATTGCCTCCTCTTTCTCGAGATTGGTTTTTTTTTTTTTTACGAGGCTATTCGACGCGTCATCAGCCGAGCATTTATTCCTCGGTGTCTCCTCCCGGGACAATCGGCACGTTAGGTTAGAGCGGCGGATTCGAAGGTTTCTTCCCCCTGAACCTCGAATTCGCAGCTCACTTCAGTTCCCTTTTCGATTGCTTTTTGGCGCGAAATTTGAATCGGGCTCAGTGGGCGGGTAACTTCCCGTTGAATGTATTCGCCTGATGTTATGAGCGATCGGTGGATCAACGAGCGGAGGTGATTGAGAAAAATGATTTATCTGCGATTCTATTAGCGCCTCAATATTATATTTGTGCTGCTCGTGGCTGAATTCTGAGAAGGAATTCCGTGGAAGTGAAATAATGTTTAGAGACGCGTGAAAATTTCTCTGCTCATTATTGAGCAATAACGTGTGTACAGGGTGAATTTTATTTCGTGTCCCAGTCTACCAAGAGAAATGGATCACCAACTGCAGCTGTGGCCAAGTCCGGAAAGAATGGAAAGATCTCGTTATGTATATTTCAATAATGCAATATCTAGTTGCGTCTCCCAAGATGCAATTAGATGTTACATGATTGAGATCATTACGTGATTTTGTTCCCGGATTGGCCACAGGCTTCGGTCGGTGGTAAAAGACTGGGACACGAAATAAAATTCACCCTGTATATGAAGGATACTCGGAACGAAACCGCGAACAATGTAAATCAAATGCGACACCTCTGCGCACCGTTATTGTTTTATAAAGATTTCATATTTTTAGAATTAATTATCGCACGACTCTAGAGTTTTGGGGAGCAATAACTTTGCGTTACGTGCTGCAATCGGAGTTCGAAGTTTGCAGAGAGACCGGCGTAAGGAACTCGGAATCTTGTTTTAGCTCGCGAAGAACGCCTTCGTGGCGAACACGGCGATTCCGTTGATCGTTGGTTCCTTCCACGTGCCTACGTGCAGCGACGACGAGCAATGTTCTGGAACGAACGAGGTCTGTTGCCCAAACAAAGAGCCGACGAGTATCGACGGCAATCCGATCTCGTCCCTCGCCGAGAAGAGCGGCGGCTCGATGCCGGAGCCGAATCCCGAGTTCGACAAGCAGAAGTTTCCAACTTGGAAAGTGTCATCGAATCAAAAGAAGTTGGACGCGAGGCAGTGCGATGAGCCGAGCGGGGAGCAGGCAGAGTTGGAAGACGCGGAAGTCCCAAGAGAATTGAATGCTTCGTTACGATGCCACGTAGATACGGTGCCTCCTTCGTGGTTCACCGAGTACATGGAGGCGGTAAGTAATATGGATAATTGAACACATCTGTGTATGGTGAAAGATAAATCTTGTTTCAGATGAAGAAGGACATGGTGTCCACGATCACGCAGGAGGTGGTGAAAAACGTGACGGAGGTGCTGAACAAACGTCTGGACTCCCTTACGTTAAAGGAGCTGGCCCAGTCTCGAGGCCAGTCGCATCCTTCTCTCTCAAAGCGACATCCCAGATGCTCCTTCGACTCGAACGAGAAGAATCAGAAGAGAATGAGATCTCAAGACGAGGAGCAGTCGAGCGACGCCTCCATCGAGCGCGTGGATGAGCCGCAAAATGTAAGCACCGCGGATGCACCGCAAACGAAGAAAGATGTGATATCCACAATTAGTCACGAGGTGGTGAAGGAGATGACGGAGATACTCAACAGAATCCCCTTGGATTCTCCGCACACGTCGGCCCCTTCGAAGAAACTCGGTCAGTCCCGAAGCCCGTCGCATCTTCCTTTGTCGAAACGATTTCCTCGACACTTGGATCCGAGCGAGAAGAATCAAAGGAAGATGAGGCTTCAGGATGGGGAGCAGTCGATGGAGCGCACGTACGAGCCGCGAAACGCCAGTACCGCGGATATTTCGCGACAACTGCAAAAAAAGCTTGATCTTATCGGCGACGCTATTTGTGCGAGCGTGTTGAAGGAGAAGAAAAAGAAGAAGAAACATCATCACTGGATTCCTTCGGCGTTCATCGATAATCTGAACAATGATGTCGTTAAGAAGCAATCCACTCAGAATAATGCAAAGAAAGAGTTAGTTTTCCAGGAAAAGAAGGAGAAGGAACCCGATGCAACTCTGGATCAATGGATCGATAGAGTAATTGGCGATCTGAAGAAGGCCGATTTTGAAATGAAACGGAGAAACGAGAACGGAGATGTTTCCTATCGGAAGGACTTGCCCTTGCGAACGGGCCCGATATCGTATAACGAAACTACGGGGATGTTCGAGAACGAGATGCTTCGTATGAGCTGCTCCGTTACTGGGCATCAGATATTGGACGAGGGTCGCCGCACTGGGGACGACTGGTGCTGCGACAATCCGGACACGGATAAAACCACCTTCTGTCCGTGCGATCAAGAAGTGGAGGACGACGACGCTTTCGAGATCATCCAGATGCCCAACTTGGTAAGCAGAAATGAATCGTTTACGCGTCCGGAGGAGCCCGCTGCGGAGCAACGACGACACGACAGCAATCGAGACTCGCCCAGCTTTGAACTCCTGTCGGAGTCGCCCTCGCCTACGCCTACGTGCTGCATGCACTTCAACGAGGAGCATTTCTCGGCGAATGAGGGGAACGCCGAGCAGCAACCTCCACCCGCGGATGCGAATCCATCGACGAGCTCCATTTACGTGATAGATATTCACGGTAAAGTCCACAACGAGTGTCGGGCGACAGATTTGGACCAAGACGTTAGCACTGATTTAAAGAAAAGATCCGGCGGAGTCTATTCGTTCGTAACAGAGACGTTACCAGTTCAGGATACTCACTGTTCGAAGTCGTCGCATTCGGAACAGCGAGCGAGCGAACGGAAGAACCACCCTCGAGACGACGTGTGCAGCAACGCGGGTTGCACGTACGACGACGTGAGAAACTCGCATACGAGTTACCTGACCGTGCGGACTCACTGCGACGCCAAGACGCAGTGCAGTTGCCAGTCGCAGACCGATTTGAGTGATTTCACGCAGAGCTTCCATTCGCACACCACGTCGGTCACCGACACGACCGACGTTTACACCGAGTCCTACGGCAACTGCAGATACGGCGAGCAAGTGCCGGTAACGGCCAAGGACGTGCGAGAAGCGGCGACGGTGACAGCGACGATGACAGCGACGGCGACCACGATTCCGAGAAGCGACCACGACAGCGACTGCGGGGAGGAGAGGACCAGGTCAAACGAAAGGCATTACAACGCTGCGGACAACTATTCAAAGTGCAGCTTTTGCAGCTCGCACAGCAGCACTCCACGAGGTGGTCCGGCCGATCCTCCGTACCAGTCCGGTCGAGCGAGTGGATCTTCCGATAGATCGAGCCCCAACGTAGGCTCGAGGAAGACGTCGGCTGGCGATCAGACACCGCTGGGCACCGTTGATCCTGTTCATATCCTCCTACCGGAAACGCTAGTCACTGCAGTCACTGCAGCCACCCATGTCGGTTCGTACGCTTACGACACCGCACGCGAGATGTTGGACAAGATACGAGCACACGCGGTGAGCCGCTCTTAGACGTGACATTCGAACGCAAAGACGATTCACTTTCGCGTGCGAATGAGATTGCCATGAAAACGATCATCTGTTTCAGAGGGAGGATTCTGCTAAACGCCGAGGCGGGGTAAAGTGCGACGACAAGAAACGCTTCTTCGTTGGGCCCCTGTCTTTGTACTAATGACCTATTAATCTTTCGTCTATAGCTGATATATTGTACGTGCATTGTATGCTATGCGGGATTGCTAAATAGATTTATTAGGTGATAGGCAAATATACGGGCTCGAAATGATATTGTACTATTGACGCGGAGCGATTGAAATGCGTGCAGCGCCTCTCTTACAAGTAACTGGGTTTTCTTAAGATCACGCAGCGAATAAAATTAGGTTTCCTACGTCGATCGTGATTGATTGTCTTGTTGAGATATGCCAAGAACGAATATGTCCCATTGTTAATGGGGGAAAGTTTTGACGACACTGAACCAGTAGAGTAACGAGTTAAAAAACCAATGAAGACAGTGAAGCACTTTTTATGTGCGTGTGATTCTTAATTGCATGCGAAATAAAGGTAGAAAGAAATCCCCCCCCCCCCCCAAAAAAAACGAACCAACGCATTCTATCGAGAGTAAGACGCATTTATTTGTCGCGTGAAATTAAGAATCACTGTACATGTAATAGTATTCGTAGTAATGAATTATGCTTTATCATAGATAGAATGTTAGACTTGCTCGTAGCTATGTGAAATTAAGGAACTAATTATACATAATAAAAGCGAACGGACGAAAGTGTGGAAGAAAGAGTGACAGTGCGAAATAGTTTTAGATCGTTTGGACGAGAGAAGGTAGGCTGTTTGGGAGAAAAGTACGAAATTCTTTATTACAACCTTTCCGCGTATAGATGAATATATTAGGGGCTAGAGACAGAATGGATTATACAAATCAGTTATCCTTGTATATTTACTGAAATGAAAAGGCGGGACACCGTATTATTCAGGACCGAATGATCGTTATTAGCCTACACGGACGATCTTGCAAACGCAACTCTGAAGAGTTACGGTTCAATTTCGTTAAGTGATGTCGCTCTAGGTACCGGTGCAGAAACTAGCAGAAGAACCGATAATCCCTTGATACCAAAGAGTCACCTCTTTGGCAAGATGCGTTTCGCAAGATGTATCAGTGTTCGGCAGTAAGATTCGCACCAAATGTTTAATCAATTTACCGCACTTTCGAAATTCTTGTCTTATATGACACGCATTATTACGTTGTGTTAGAGCTTATGGAATTTAGCCGGTTTTGTGGAAATAAATGTTATATGAATTATATACATATTTATATATACATATAATTTATTATTAGATATAAATATTCCTATATAATTTCAACCATTTCAGAATTTAAATAGATATTTACATGTTTAGTCATTTTTTATTTTATTTTGTACAATTTAAATAAGTATCTTGAAACTGACGTTATCTTTTTGTATAAAAACATTCGTAAAGTAAAATTTAGAATTTGTATGAAAATATGTATATACAGCTTTCACTTAAAAACTATTAACTTCAAATATGTAATTATATGATTATTATCAACGCGAAATTTTTTTTTAATTTCTCACTCATAATATTCACACAATTGTTTTAATCTCCAAAAATTCCTAGTTTTATAATGTAATTTTATCGTATCGTTTTGATCAATTTTATCATTCACAAAAATACACCAATTTTAATAACAATTTACTAAAATTTATTAGATTGCTAAAATCTGCTAAAATCTAAGAATATAAAAACTTAATATTTTACAATCTTATTTACAATCTCTAAAATTTTGAATGTTGCTATGAGACATAAAATACGCCATTTTCCATTTTTTATGGACTTTCATTCTCTTTCTACTAATTGAAATGCTGGAAATGCATTATAGATTTGTTATTATATAGAATGTATATTCAGTCTATATAGTTTTTTTTTACGAAAAAAGAAAAGGTGAGATTGAGTGTTAAGAAAAAAAATTGCACATCTTACCGTACTCTCAAAGTTAATTGTTCGATAGAAACGAACAAATTCTCGATACACGAGCAATTTTTTCGCATTTTTAAGTGTTACCGCCGCGGTTCGTGTTTTCATTCTGTGAATAAGGGAACACGTGAGAATTATTACTTCTCACTCAGTCGTGTCTCTCACCGTCATTTTTCATCCTCTTTGTAGGCCGAATTAACATTCCCAGCCTTTTCTTCCAGGGGTAGGGCCCCATCAGTATCTTCTTCCTCTGGGATATCCACATATTTGTAGAATAAAGTCATCACAGCAAATATCGTTATGACTACTGCCATCAAAACGGCGTACAGGAAAATCTCGTACACCTACGAGATAAATAAATTCGGTTTGTATACACTTTAGGTATTCGACACTTAATTGAACGACTCATCACGTATGAAATATGAGAATGAGAAGATTGGGATATTAAGTGCAGAGAGTTACATGAATTTCACTGACCATATAAACAGTGTTGGCCACTTACTTGCCGTTCGAAGGGACGCGAACCCTTTATGATAACCACAATGAGATTGCCAAAAGCCACGCTCAGCAACCAGCCCGCCTGAAGTAAAGACTTCATGCTCACCGGGGCCTGAGTGAAGGCGAATTGCAAGCCTGTCACAGAGAACATCACCTCGGCCATCGTGATGATGATATATTGCGGTAACATCCAGGCCATGTGCAGCGAATTGGGCGGTGTGACCGTGATTGTATTGCCAGCGATCATCGACTGGCCATTATGCTTAACGTGGGAACCCACTACGGTGAACACTCCACCGGACTTGAAAACTACGTTCTTATCCAACAGTGTTTTGTCTAGATAGACATCATATTCTCCTGGAGACTCGATATTGTGTAACTCTGAGTGTGAAAATTTGAAACTACTGACTGGAATTGACGCTGCTATCTTATCGTTACGGGACACTATTAGTGTGGCGTTATCTAATCCAGGCGCAAGATAGATGAGACCACGGACCATCGGTGTACCCTTCTCTGGTTTGTCCACCATATCCTCATAGCCATGGTTTAATCCCAAGGGTGTTATAACCCATGACGATGCAATAGCTTCCGTACCATTAATTTCTCCTAATAAGAAAAATTATTTTCAAATCTACAGAGCTTACAGTCTCTCGATATCTAAACTTTACCTTTTGCCGTCTTCAGGTCGGTGTAACCCTTCTCATAGCATTCTGTGAAATCTGCTGTATAAGGTATTGTAACAGTTTCATTTGCTTTCACTTCGAGAACTTCCGACATAGATACTGGATTTATTTTAACTGGATTAACTACGTGATTTGCCATATCTACATTCACGGTACAATTCATTGTGTTGAAAATACGCATTTGAGCGTTTCCATTTGTCGGTAACTTCGGATATGTGTACTGAAATTAAGTATAGAAATCAAGATAAGGCATCACGTTTTTCACATTCCTATCGCATTAATTATTACGTAATTCGATTTTGATAATAGGTAGAAATATGGTAATATCTATGATATATTAAAACTTGTACATCTTAAAAGGTCTTGAACAAGCACAGATAGACATAAAATATTTCTAATAACGTATAACAAATTTCTCTGTTACTACCTCGATTTGTATTTCAACGATACCAGCTGCGACGAAAGCAACACTGGCTAAGAATCCGCCGACAACGAGCTTCTTCAAGGGTGTATCGATGAAATGTATTTTGGCGAAAGCCGGATAGACCAAAGTCTCAAAAATTGGTATAAAGATGATGATCAATAGTGGATTGAGAGCTTGTAACTGATCGGGCAGCAGTATAAAACTACCCATTTGGCCATCCATTCGCGTTGCTTGGAATGTCCACTGAGAGCCTTGCTGATCGTAGAGCGCCCAGAATATTGGCAGTGGTATAAATAATTTCAGAACCCGCAGTGCGACTTTGATATCTTCGATCAGCTTGTTGTCGTAAACATCATCGGCATGATCGAGCCAATGATCGCGGTTTGCTTTCCTTCTGAATTTATTGGCGATTGCATGCTGAGTTTTTGAAACATAAAAATTATATATTTACCTTAAGGGATTTTTAAGTTTTACGAAATTAAAAATTCATGAGATCATTTAAAAAAAGATATTAATTAAGGGCTCTTATTTTCACGACTGAGAATCCAAAAATCTGTAGATTTTATAAACTGTAGATTTAGATTCTATGCATTCTAAGACGCATTACTAAGTAAAATTATTTTACAGTCTTTTACAGTAACGCAAGAGCATTATTTATATGAAAAACAGAAGTTGAATTAAAAACATTTAAAATATATACATTCTAAGCTGTTTTAGATCTCTCGGGTGTCTCTTAGTGATGCAAAGAATAATTTGTACAATAGTCTGCAGATAATTTTTATCAGTTTTTTAAAGTTTTCGAAGTAATTAAAATCGCCTGATATTTCGGTGATATACGACTTACGCAAACGCACTTGGTAACCGTGACGATGAGATTGCCCGTAGGTTTCACCATTTTATACATCACTTTCCCCGAGACAAATATCACTGAAAATAAATCTTCATTAATAAGACTGCATCTGTGTGGGTGGAAAGTGTTTTACGCTTTCTTATCCTCACCAATCGATATAACCATTAAAACGGCCGGCACCAAAAATGCCACGAAGTAACAATCGGTGCCAAAACATTTCACTTCACGAAGTACCGGAGTCAGCAAGGTGGAGATTAGGGAGCCTGTGTTAATGGAAAAGTAGAAGAGGGAAAAGAACATCGCCAACTGTCGTTCCTGTTGAGGTAGAATGAACTGATCGCCTCCGAAAGCTGACACGCAAGGTTTTATTCCGCCTGTACCAAGCGCTATCAGGAATAAACCCAACATGGAAAATTCTCTGAAAAATTGAAAAATGTTTGTTTCTTTGTCAACAGAAATTCAACAGTCATAAAAATTAGTAGCACTTAAGTGATATTTAAATTAAATTGTATTCAAATAATATTTAAATTTAGAGAATACGATTTTTTATTATCTATGCTAATTTCCAGTATGCTAATACCGATGGTTATTTTAGATATATTTTATACTGACCTTGCAGGCAATTGTACGGGAGGTGCCGCACTCAAGGATAAAATCACTTGTCCGATAGCATAAATAATACTTAAATAAAAAATGGTATAGAATTTTCCAAGCCATGAATCGGATATGATTGCACCAATCAGTGGAAAGAAATAGACGAAACAGGTGAAGACATGGTAGATTATTGTAGACGTGCTCTCACTATATTTCAGCATGCTATACAAGTATAGCGACAGGACAGCTAAAAGGTAATTTTGTGTTAATTCACTTTCCGTTAAATTATATATACGATTAAATTTAAAATTAAAATCAAAGTTCATCAAAGTCTCATAAGACATTACCAGAATTTCAGAATTAAATAAAAACAGTTCAATATCATCCATTATTATAAGTTTTATGGTGATATTTCTTATAATGTAATTTTTAAAGATTGTTACAAAAATATAAGTATATAATGTAATAATATTCCTCTGATAGAAAAATAAAAATAATACAATAGCACACGAGAGAATCTTAGCAAGTATTATATTTATTTTTACAACTTTTAAGATTATCAAATTTTTACTAATATTTCGACAACAATATATGCTACAGAAATTAATCTGCATTTACTGAAACTGCTAACTTATACAAAAGACATACATTAGAGCAAAATATTGATTCTGTGTTATCTATTAAATATTGTACTAGTATCGGCTAAAGTTGTATTATAATTAAAGAAAAAATCCCATACGAAAGCTTGCGGTACATTGTAATAACATTGCAATATTGTACATTGCGATACAATAACGTAGAATCATTGTATTAAATATAAATTTACAATGTTATAGATAAACAACTTGAACAATATTAACACTTCGAAAACAATAGCAGTATGTATTTATTTTTTCTTGTGACTAAACAAACTTATTATCTACAACGTATAATTTTTACAGCAACCTTCAAATACTTTTTGTACATCTTTCCTTCAAAAATATATTTAGAAATGTGATTTTGATTTATTACTTTTAAAACAAGACCATAAATTGAAATTCTAACGAAAACATTTTCAGGTATATTTTTACAACGTATGTTTGCTAGAAACGAAGGTCTTTTTTACGTTAAGTGTTTATTTTCTTTCAAATTACGGATATTAAATATAAACTGTTTTTTGATGATGGAACGGCGATGGTAATGATGATGATAATGCTTTGTTGTATTTTGTACTCCCTTAAGTCGTTTTTAAAATTGTTTCTTATCTTTAAAAAACGCTAGAATAGTTATATAATGTTGTCGTTTGTATTTTATTTTCTCTATTTAATAAAACTTATAATTTTTCAGAGTATCTTTAATAAAGAAAAACGACAATTTGTAATATAATGGACAAAGTATAGAAACTAAAATTTTAAAAGTATTCAATTTTAGAAAGCATTACAGTTAGACTTATGAGAATACATATATCATTATACATACAATTATAAATAAGTTTGTAAAAAGCAAAAATTCTCCTTTACGTGCTATTGTGTGATTTTATGTGAAATTGTGTTGTTTATTTTACTTACAATTAAATTAAATTAAATTAATAAAGCTATTATGCTGATTTGTGTAAATTCTAAAAAACATTGTGTATGTATAATCTGCAATGTTACTACAATGTTGCATATTAATATCTTAAATATTTTAAAGCGGACAATTTACCGTTGCTACAATATTGCGGCAACATGTCATAACGTCAATACAGTTGCAATTTTGCGATAAAATGTTGCCGTGAACGTTCATGCAATGCATTCTTGCTATGTTGTATATGTATATGGGATTGTTCTAATTGTCGTATCATTAATTATAATTAAATTATAAAATATGACTGATTGCGTCAGTTAATCCTGAAATTGGCATTGACAATTTATATATTATACTCACTGCGCATTCCATAATAACAAAATCTCTCGCAGAATTCATTGCTGATAATGAAGAACACCGATTTGGGATACTTTGGTTTCTGCAACATTTTGAAAAGAAACACATTAAACATACAGTAACGCATTAATATAAAAATATTATTTTATGCTAACTTTAGTTTACTTTAACATCTATTTCAAAAGCGGAAATAATAATTTCAAGTTTTGAAAACCATTTATTGAAGCGTATTGACGCTCAAGTGGAAAACAAGTTAAATGCTTTGGTAATTATTTTGCGCATTAAATACAGTTCAATTTTAATTCTTATGAATTAAATTTGTATTAAAATAAAATTAATTGAAAAGTAAGGAACTAATTTCCTGTTAACGAGACACTCGACCCGAGTTACGAAAGTAGCTTTTCAAAGAAAAAGATCTAGCGCAATCGCATTGACCCGATTAACACCATTATTACACAACAGGCACATTTATTTTCTAGCATTTCCCAGCGAAGATCGAAATGCGAAGGTCGTGCCGACCGAATTATCAACTATGCCGTGTATAACCATTGAGAATAACGACACTTCCGAAGTGTGATAACAAAATGAGCCTGTGACACAATACTCTGTAAAATAATTTACATTTTTATTTAATGTTTTTCAATTACGAGAGCGTGTTTGTCCTTCCACCGTGACGATATTTGCCTATACCTTTGGAAAATAAAATTTAAAACCGAAACGTAAGTGTGGAATATAAGAAAATTTAATGTAATGTACGGGGCAGAGATAACTACGGAAAATAGTTTACTGAAGACAATTGTTGACAATAAATTCACGTAAATTTGTAAATAAGTATTTGTAAGCGAAAACGGTTTTTGTAATTAGATTTCTAAAAGCAAGGCTGTGTATAGGTATTGTACAAAGAACCTTGATACAGCAGTTCAAAGTATGTTTCTGTTTCAAGGAAATTTTGATGCGTGAAAAGATTATTATAAGGTAAATATGTGTTCTCGCAACGATGTCCATTTCCAGTTATTGCTTTGACAATTAAAGTCGATGATAACATTGTCTTCTACGATCATCGCGGACTGCAAGCTACTGGGTACACGAACATCGAGTGTGAATAAAGTACAAATAAATTACATTGTGGTATATTATCAGTTTATAGAAAGCATTGACATTTAAAATTTACGCAACGTAATTCCAGATCGTTATGAAACACCGTTGCGAGCTGTAATTAATTTCTGAGATGCCAACAACAATTCCTTAAACATCACCGTTTAAAGGAAATCTCAGTAAATACTATATTCATTTGAGAGTATTAATTTATTACTAGATTGTTGGTGAAGCCTTGCTTGAACAAACATTTAAATGCCGTCAAGGAAAACGACAGAACGCTGATAAAAATATCAGTAATGGATTATAATAATACATGATATTATATATGTGTTATACTTATGTTTGTGAAAAGAATGCGAAAAGAAAAACGGACGCCTTAATTCTTTTGAGGAAAATAATTTTGCAATCTTCCAAGATTATTGGAAAACCTTAAAACGATGCAAGCTATTATTTACACATTGTTCATATATGTATAATATCGTAACTTTGATAACATTAAATATGTTTTTGTGTTATTACCATGTTTTTGAGATACTACAAATATAGATGAAAATTCAAAGGGGATTAAAAGCAAAGGAGCGACTTCCGAGACGCCAGATAAAAATACATAGAACATTTACAAATCCCAATAAAGCACACTCTTTCATAACGTAAATGCCATTTTACGTAGTACAATACAAAACGCGTGATTATAAAGATATCTTTATCTGCAGTATCTGTACTTTTTCCTCCCGACGACTGCTCCGAATGCAATCTAAATCTCGATAATGCTCGTCGAGTAATTACGTTGTGGATAAACAATTCGATAATGAAGTATGTAAGCGAGGAGAGCTTGAAGGAATGATCTAATTTCAGGAATATAGCAATATCAACGGGACTTACTAATTTTGATCCTATTCGGAAATCGATATCTCGCGATATCCGGATTGATTATTACATGCTGACCGGAGTGGATTAGAGAACTTGAAGAAAAACTTGTGTCTCAGAGAAAGTATAGTAGTCGGCCGTGATCAAGGAAATTAGTCGGGCATGCTAAGGTGAATGGAAGCGAGCCCAGCCCAATTTGGAACGATTATCTTCCAAATCTATTCGTGTCAACTGTCGTGGTAATTTAAAACTATGCAACATACACGTGATGTTCCAGCTCAACGGTAAGAATATACAAAGGATCGAGGACGTTGCATAAATTACATAAGTTTCTACAAATATAGAAACTATGTATCGACGACGATGAAAACGAAGATGATTCGACCTAATAGCTCTCGTTAATGGCTCGAGAAGCGGTAAAGCCAGATTACACAAATTCATATTACGTTTTTAAGTGTAAGATTTAAATAAACAGAGATACTTCTTTCTTGCACAATGCGTCTTAGAGATCTGAAATAAAGGTCCCGCATCTGTTCTCCGTTTATTTTACAAAGTTCGGAGATATTTTTTGCGCTACTTCTTCGAGATAGCGAGACTGTCCTTTAGAAAAAGAAGTACGGCAAAATTATTCAGTGATTACAATACGCGATAGACATGACAGTACGTTTACCTGCCGCACATGCATTTTATTCACGACCATCGTATGATCTCAGATCGCGATCACAGTTGTTAGAGAAAATGAGAGAGCTGATGGTATATTGATCACTATCACGCGGATCGTTTCACTTCATCAGGTGGATGTTCTGCTTGCGACGACGATCGACCACGCGTTGTCGTCGTCGGTTTCGACGGCTCCGCTCGTACGCGCTCGTACATCGAGACTGACATCAGCGACCACAAGTGGGCACAGTATTGCTGTCAAAGTAGGTAGGTAGGTGGGTACCACCATGTAAGAATGACTTGTATAAGCCTCGACGCAGGCACAATGTGCACACGTGACGGGCGAGCATTACATTCGTGGTGCGTGTATGCAATCCGGCGTGTTCTTTAGTATTTGGAACAACGTGAAAGTACGCGGTCACATCACAGGGCCATGTGCAACCTACCGGTCGTTCACGCAGGTGTTTCAGGTACGCGCGGATGTGACAGTTTCCGATTTACGCTCGACTTCGAGAGATTACAAGTTCGCGATTGGAAAGCGCGCGAGAACGTCACTGTATTACACGCAAAATAAAGAAATGAGAATACAACGAAGCAAAAGAAAAGAAGATAAAAGATATGACATCATGATTTCTTAAGAAATCGATATTTTCTTCCGCAGATTATTTAACATTTATATCTTGGTGTTTAATTCTGTGCGACAAAACGTGACTATTACTATCGGAAGGAAATGTCGCGATACGAAAGTTAGAAATGACTTATCTACGCAGCTGACCTCGTTGATGGCATAAATTATACGCATTTGTGGAATAAAAGTCGGAGGAGCTGAGCATTTTGCAGTGTAAAAATACTCTCTACGAGTGTAATTATAAGAATTAACCGAAGTATATCCGCCGATTCAATTGTTAGAGTTTATTCCCAGAAAAATGACGTATCACACACGAATACACACACGCACACACGCTCGCGCGCACGGACACATGTTTACATATGTATATGTATTTGCGGCCTTTTTCATATCTATCTGCGTATATCTGCGAATTATCTATCGTATAGTATATAGAATGATCACGATTGTAGGCTGCAGTCGAATTATTATAGTCATATCTTTTATTTACAGCGAGAGATAAGCATCGAAAGACAGATATGATTGTACAAAAATTTAAGTCCCGATTGTTAACAAAATAATTTAGAAGTTGATTGAAACTAATCTTTCGAGCTCTACTCAATTAAGAAATAACCAATCATAAAAATTGCCATTGAAACTTTCTCTCAAACTTTTATCTCGAGCTCGCGTATACACGGAATCTCGTAAGCGAAGTCCGATCGCAATGACAAGTAACATGGAGGGAACAGAGAAGTTGCTCAATAAAAACGCGGTCGGTCGGTCGATGTGATACGTGAATGTAAATTCGATGCGGGCCGTTTATGCGGTGATTTTGCAACATTGAAAAACACGGGAGACACGTTGGGACGGCTTTCCTTCTCTCGCTGGTAAAAAGATCGCGGAATCTTACATCTCGTATTTTTTTCCTTTTTGTCAAACTATAACGCATATACGAAAATGTGAATCGCCGAATTTATCGCATCGTCATCGTTAAGTTATACAGGGTGTACTAAAACCACCGGATATCCTTTTAATCACAGATTCTTTAGAAAATTTCAAGACAAAAATTCTAATACGAAAATGTCGAGGCTATAATAGTTTTTAAATAATAAGCGATTATATCTCACAGATGATGGGCCTGAGATTTCGCGCGCTCAGGCGACATGACGAGTGATAAAAGTGTTCCTATGATTGTCGCCCTTCTTATTTAATTCAAGCAGAAATTTGCAACGTGCTGTAACTTCAAAGTGTTGCAGCTGTCAAGGCGATCGATCAGTATCAGTTACCATGAAGGTTGTTACTGTGGTACAAAGGGCGACATTCTTAATCTTAAAATTTTCTAAAGAATCTGTTATTGAAAGGATATCCGGTGGTTTTAGTACACCCTGTATAACGCGCTATGTACGCTTAAATTGCGCGGTAATAATAATGATCTTCCGACCTCCTGGTCCGAACGCTATCATTGAGCGAAAGTAATCCAGATACGTTCATGTAAATTTTCGGAAAGACTCGTCGCACCGGAACCGCTGATGAGCAAAATTGTCAGACAAGATTACACAAATGATTGCGGCGATTACGGCGCAGGACATTCTTATCTTATCTGTTCATCTATCGGAAATATAAATCTCATCAAGATATGAATCTATATCTAAAACAAAAATCCTAAATCTAATACCTTAATATGTTAATAAACTATATAAATATGTAGTGTAATGTTTCGATATTTAATGTGAATATTTACGAATTAGATTCTGAATTTGATCTCACCTCTTCTTGCTCTTCAACGTTGCTTTGATCCGGATGATCTGAAACACAGATATAAATATTTAACAAGCTGATAGAGAATTTGTATCAATACCCAAGGTGCGCCAATGCGCGTATAATCTGCTTTAAATGTATATTTAAATTCGCATTTAATGCTCTTTTTGTCCTGCATTAAATATATATTGTGGCAGCGCATCCCAAAAAACTGTATCATTAACTACCTATGCGTAATTTTTCGTGCATAAACATGTATAAATATAGAGAATTATACATATAAAATTATATTTATCTCAAATATGCCCAAACATGTTAAATTCGCGCATTTTGAACACACAATGTTGTTTTGAAGCCAATGCAATAAAACGCGCATTAAAAGCACGTTCTATGCGCATTGGCGCTCCTTGGGTGTACTACTTTAATTTAAAAGTTAATTCAGCCATTGTCAATAACCTTTCGATCTATCTTAGTGAAAGCAACCGGAGACCGTTTACGCTAATCATCAATATTCATGGTGGCAATTTGGCTGTTCAAATTAGGTCACGGTCCAATCATGTATCGTGCCGATAAAAGAATCACTAGGCAAATAGTCGCGACAATTAAATCATTGAATACTCAATCATGTCATGAATATTTATCGTGATCCACTCTTTGAAAACATGGATTTAGCAAAATCAGAAAATGCGCACGATAAATGTAATAATGTTTACATCATTTTTTGACTTTGTTCCGTTACTCAATAATTTCTTATCGCGCTTCCTGTATTAATTACGACGACTCTAGATAGATGACGTTTTCAATAGATACACAAAGATATTATTATCGCAGTTTAGCAATTACCGCCGACCATATCGGATGCAATACTCGACATTCTTCGAGAAGATAAGAAAACTGTTTACTATACTACAGTCTATAAAAAAATTTTGCTTTTAAAAGAGTTATTATTTTGATTGTTACCTATCGTCAATAGTCCTTCAGTCTTAAGCAGCTTAGTGTTTTGTTTCATTAAAATTATTATATGTCAACAATCAAGATTTTTCCATAGCACCTTTCTATCCATTTATATTAAATCATTTGCTTTCCTCTATCTTATTTCATTGGAATAGAATATTTTATAAATGTAAAAAAAATGTAATATTTTGAGTTGTGTTGTTATTACTTGACCATCATTTACGCAAGTTATTTATTTTAATGAAATAACAACAGTTTCCTGTTCTTCAAAGATAAGAAAGTCCTCAATAATCTAAACGTTTGTTAATTCGCTAATTACCATCATACGTTTACTTTTATAGATAAAATGAGTTTCAACGTTCCATTACTCTTACATTTCAGTACTGGTCGTTTCCCAACTCGTTCGTTTATTGAGACTCCAATTATTTGATTTGCGACTCAGTTGGTTACTCGTGATAAACAAATTATATCTCAATCATCTCAGGATTTGTTAATCGATATAATTAAAACATCAAATTGCGTCAAACCGACTAGCAAAACGCTTCGTTAGCATCTGATCTTGTCAAACGAGAATTGATGTGTATGTTTATCAGAAGGAAACTGGAGTAATGCGATTACTAGAAGTTTACGAGAGAAAAGCGCGTTCATTTTAGTAATACTTCGGATCGCATAATCGACTGACCGGATTATGAGTGTGCGTGAAAGAAAGTCATATCCTAAGGGACCGCGAACGAAATATACAGGTATTGTAATAAAACAGCAACGTTTAATCTCGAATTGACGCAAGACAAACGGCTATTTTTTTTTTATATACGCAAACTGAAAGACGACCCCGCCGGAAATAATTCTACAAAATTCTACAAGAAAAATTATATGTAACTGCCAGAGTCTAAAAAATTCTACCTAAATTTAAAAAGTGTAATAAAAATCAACATGAAAATGCTAGAATTGGAACACTTTTGTTAATTTTTGTAAATACTCTACAAGTAAGCAGATGTTTTAATTCTTTAAGATTTTGTTTCTCAAATTTTTAAAACTAGTAAAGTTTTCTACTAATTTTTACAAAATTGTACATTTTTATGAAATGCAATAATTTCTTGATTTAAGAACATTTTAATTTTTACAAAAAAAAATTAATGTTCCAACGAAGATATAAAAATTTCTACAAATTTCTGTTTCAATTCAATTTTTTGTAGTTATTTATAGAAATTTTTTCCGCCGGGGAAGAAATGCTGTCGTTATATACCTCGGATCTCATTTTCGGAATGTTTTCTCTTCGATACGCCCGAAGTGTCCATTTTTCAGCGATTCTTCGTTGTCCAGCTTCTTCTCACGACGTTAACTTGGACACTGATCCGTCTTTTCGATCACGATCATACCATGTGTGAACTATCGCTCTTCATCTTATCTATCAATACCTGTAGACAATGCAATCTGTTTACAATGAGAAGATTTATCGCACGCGATATTACGAACTCTCGAAAATCCTGTACACGAGTGTGAAATAAACGTCGACAAACGTCTGAATTATCGGAACGACGTTACGTCGATCTCTTTCTTTATTAGCGGAAGCTCGTTATCAATAAGCTTTGATATACGAAATACGAAGGTACTTTCCGAAATTTCGTCATAAATTAAAATACACACTTACTTTGCTACCGCTATCACCTTCAAAGTACTTTCCCTTGAAAGCATAGAGTCAGAGCACAAAGCAACGTAATAGCTTACGACAAAGGCGTAAGCGTAAACATAGATAGGGTACAAGCTTTGGCATAAGGGCCGTGGCACACAAACGGCCTTAAGCAATAAGACGTAAGCTGTAAACAAATTGACCAATCATAATCGAGAATTATGACAGCCAAATAAGCCCTAGTCCTTACAGCTTACTTAAAGCAAGGTTGTGGACCAACACTGCTAATTGGAGATAAATACGATATACGTCAAAGTATATTGTGCGCTAATCTACGTTTACGCTTACGTCTTTGTCATAAGCCATTACAAATTCCTAAGGAAAATAAAAAGTCAAGATGATGTCAATTTGATGTCATATTGACCAAAATTATGTCATACTTTGGTCAATATGATATTAACATCACCTTGTCTTTTCATTTCTCCTTGGGTTGCTTTGTGCTCTGACCCATACGCCGATTCCGGCGCCTCTGCCACAGACGGGATGTCATTTGAAAATCCTCCCCGAATTCTTTTTCATTCGATTTCATCTTCTTCAATGTGTTTAGTGCTACAGTACTGCCTGCGAGTCGACAGACAGTGCTAAACAGTCTTGCTGCTTTCGGGAAAAATTCCATTAGTGGCAAAAGATAATAATAGTGTATAAAACTTAAGACTCTCTCTAGAGTACTTTTACTTACGGATAAATATCGGGAACTTTTGGATATAAACTACCTCACACATGTATAAAGTTTACGGATAAATTTCGTATCAGCAACGGTAAGTCCACCGAGCTGCAACGTCTGCTATCTAAAAAAAAGGACATAAGATATTTATTATGAATTGTTATTCGTAAAGGGAATCATTAATTTAGTGTACGGGTTTCTGATGCAAGTCTCTCCTAGATTTACCTTCACCTCGGTAGATGCTTATTTCGTCAGTCACATCGGTTGCGAGAATTCGATATCAAATCCTACGCAAATCGTACTTTTCCGTAGGATATCGTGAGCGCACCGAGCGGCGCGATAAGCATTGCGAACAAAAGCAAGACATCTCTTCCTCTCTTTCTTTTTTAGAACCGAACCACTTGGATCGCATCGACAGATAATTGGCTGCGGTCAAGCTGTCGCTTCAAGTGTTTCGAAGAATTCTTCTTCTCCTTTCTTTCAGAAAAGATACCCAAAGAGCGCCAATGCACGTATAACGTGCTTTAAATGTACACTTTAATTCACATTTAGTGCACGTATTTGTCCTGCATTAAACGTATTTAATGTATTCCATCTCTGATGCGATGCCAAAAAAACCTACTTGACGATCGAAACACAACAAGATACTAAATTACGTCCAAAATGTCTGTTGTTAGAATGTAAAATGACTTTACGGTTTAGAGTGAGTTTAGAGTAAGTGCCGGTAAACGCGATACTTCTGAAAGGTTCTCTTCGACTACTTTGTTAATTAACAAAAGATATGTATTCATTATAATTGAACAGTTTTCTATCGTACAGTTTTGTATACCATGTTAAAGCTATTTTACATTAAAGACATCAAGAAATAATTAAAATGGCACTTTATATTATATACAAGAAAAACATTAAAATGTGTTCCCAGATAGCCAGTGTAAGCGCAAGTTGCTTTCACATTGTTAACAAAAATGTAAGCATCTTGCTATGCGTCTACGTCGTCTATTGTGCCGTTGTTCGCCAGCATTTTATGTCGGAAATGAAACATTTGCATAATCTAAAATAGCTTTAAGTGCCCAAGGAGCGCCAATGCACGTATAATGTGCTTTAAAGATATATTTAAATTCGCACTTAATGCATGTACTTGTCCCGCATTAAATGCGCATTAAATGCATATTGTGGCAGCACATTCCAAAAAACTGTACCATTGACGGCCACTATGCATAATTTTTCATACATAAGCATGTATAATATAAATATAGAGAATTATATAAAATTATATATCTCAAATATGCCCAAACATGTTAAATTTGCACATTTTAAACACACAATTAATGTCGTTGTGAAGCCAATGCAATAAAACTTTCAATTGCAACGAAAATAAAAATATCAAATCTGCGTTTGAATTGTAAAATGTCAATAAAGGCATTTTATGCGCAAATGCAGGGCCTAATGCGATCTGCGGAGGTTTAAAAAATATATAAGGTAACTATTAAATTAGTTACTGGTTGTCGTTGCAGTTACAGATGGAGAGGAAGCAAGAGTTGACAAAAAGAAGTAACTTCGTTACAAGTAACAAGTTACTTCCAACCCTGGTTTATACGCACGTCTACCCACGAGGGTTCTCTCCTATTTCCTAGTCTTCCTATTTTGCGAAAGTTCTGTCTAACAAAACGGCCGCTGTCCATTTCTATCGATGCAAGTGAACTCTTCAATCTCGATTTAACTCGCTTTTCGCCTTTTCCTAGTTTCATGAATTAGTGAGATGAGAGTTAATGTACAAGAGAGAATTGACTTTCCACGGTCGTTCGCCTAGCGATGGAACAAGCGGTTAATTTTTGACCCGTGCGTTTTGGGAGCAGAGGGCCGTTTAGTCCCGCGCGAACGGGACGGACAAGACGGATCCGCGAATATAACGGTAAAACCGTCCGCCGTCCGGCAGTAACGAGAGTCTGGGAGTCTCGAGCGGCGGAGACGAGGGGGTCTCTCCTCGGTCTCCCGACTCCTCTCAGTGCTGTCTTCGCGCCCGTCGACGTCTATGGATCTCCCGCGGAATCCCCGAGCCGATCAGCAATTTCGCGCGGGGCAGGGATGCTATTTCAAAATCTGCCAGCGTGTCGGCCGACTGTGGAACAGAGAGGTCTTCGAGCCCCTGTAAATTTTGTAGCCGGTCGATGCGCTTGAAATTCTTTCGTACGACAAACGAGACGGTGAAATCCGATCGAGCACGTCCCTCTGTCTCTCCACGCTGAGGCCCCGCATCAGACTACGGATTGAAACTGGGATTAGTTTGAAATTTGACAGTAAATCGCAGTAAAGTTTACTAGTCTCAAGTTTAGTAAGGGCCTGAGCAGAATGGCTGTCCTGTACTCGTTAAGACATAAGACTGAATTATTGTGCGTCACCTCGAGACAAAGGCTTAAAACGTAAAACATTGTCTTAAGGCTGTCTTAAGAGTCTAAGACCGGTATTCGTAGTCGATTCTTGTTTCAAAATCATCTTAAGTGTTGTCTTAAGACGCTAATACGGCTCTGTGATTGGTTGAAAGCACATTAACAATATACTTAAGACGATCTTACTATAAATATTATATAAGAACGAGCTGTGAATACCGACCTAAGACAGCGATTCTACTCGGGCCTTAACTTTTACTTTAATTGGTAAAATTTCAATCCAATCTCAATCACATTCCGTAGTCTGATACGGGCTTGACGCGCGTTTCTCTCGTGATAAGCGCGCACGCGAAGGACCGAGTTCAATTCTACGGCTTTAGTATCGGCCAATAATTAAAACATAAAACATTATGTCTTAAGGCTGTCTTGAGAGTCTGAGACCGGTATTCATAGTAGATTCTTGTTTCAAAGTCATCTTATTTTATAACTTAAAGCCTGCCCTCGTGGCTACAAATATATCCTATTAAAATATATGTACTAGCCAACTGTATGAAACGAAGTAAATAATACGTTTGAGATACACACGCGATCGCACATATATTTTAACGAAATATATTTGCAAGATGTGTCGATAAGTCGGTAAGATGCACGTCAATGTATATTCGCAGAGATGCTTTAAATTGGCGCGTGGTACGTGAAGGGGCACGAATTTCACGTCGCTACGGCCGCCCCGGAAGATCCGCCCGCGAAGGCGGCGGGCGCCTCCGCGAGTGACACGTTCCTGACGGCCGCACGCGAAGCGAGAGACGAGACGGAGGAGGCGACACGCATTCGCGAACGATGGGGTTCGATGTGAACCGCTTCCAGGGCGACGTGGACGAGGAGCTCGTGTGTCCGATATGCTCCGGCGTGCTCGAGGATCCCGTCCAGGTAGGGCACGCGCGTGTTTCACCCGTGGAGGCCTCGCCGCGACCCACCCCGATCCCGCCTAACCTCCAACACTCGCGTTGTTGTGCCGAGTGCCCGACCGAGTCTCGGGGCGAGGGAGAGGGACGAATTCGCGTGACTCTTTCCGTTTTCGAAAGAAGGACGAGAGAGCGGCGAGCTTTTGCGGGAATGTTTCCACGCGAGAGCGCCGACTTGGGAGACGAGAGGTTGGTGTGGAGCCCAGATCTTACTGTTAAAACTTGGCACGTCGCGTAAAGAAGCAAGTTCTCGCGAATGCATAATATTACCGAGGCTTCCCCGTTGTTCCCGGATCCGTTGTTCGCTTGTAGCCGAACTGGCCGCGCTAGTTGACGAGTCGATCCCTTTTCCCCCCCACGCTAGGAGAAGGATAAACTCTAAACTAGTGCAGCCAGTTCAGCTGCGAAGAACAGACCCCCGACCCGTGTTTCCGTCGAGTCGCTCGCCTCGGGATAAAAGACGAGCGATTCGCATTCGCGCGTCTCTGCGAGTGCAGGTTAGGACCCCGTTGCTGCTGTTTACCTTTTTTTTTTTTTGGTATCGTTTGCGTTTGTCTATCGAGACGCTTGTGTCTTCTGCAAAAAATGCTCGTTTAAAATTGAACCAGCGTTTACGCGTTGACGTAGCACGCGGAAAACGTAGTGAGCTTCGTCTGCACCGCACTTTCAGCTTCTTCCATCGCTTCATTCGTACAGTTTTAACACAGTTGTAACGCAAAGTGTCGGACTCTTTCGCCTAAACATTTCCATTATTGCACATTGGTAAGACGTCCATTTGTTTACATTACCTTGTACAGGTAGCACGTACCTATACTAAACCTTTATCGCTTTATAAAGTTGTGGCAGCTTATGAGGACTGGCAGGTGAGTAATGTGTTGCAGGCACCAGTGTGCGAGCACGCCTTTTGTCGCACCTGCATCAACGAGTGGATAAACCGCCAGCCCACGTGCCCCCTGGATCGTACGGCCATCACCTCCACTCAGCTCAGGGCAGTCCCCAGAATTCTCAGGAACTTGCTGGCCCGCTTGTGCATCAAGTGCGACAACGTTGTATACGGCTGCACCACCGTCGTCAAGCTGGATTGCCTGGTCGCGCATCTCGAGCAGTGCGAGTACAATCCGAAGAGACCGATGCTGTGCGAGCAGGGCTGCAGCCTGATCATTCCCAAGAATGAGCTCAAGGACCACAATTGCGTGCGCGAGCTGCGCAACCTGATACAGTCGCAGCAGCAGAAGCTACTCGAGATGAAGCGCGAGATCGACGAGCAGCAGCTGCAGATCAACGAGCAGAAACGCGAGATTCATCTGCTCAAGGATTTTATGCGCGCGCTCAGAGTGTCGAACCCGGCAATGCGCGCGATCGCCGATCAGATGGAGCGGGACGACGTTGTCAGATGGTCGGCGTCTTTGCCACGCGCCAGGGTTACCAGGTGGGGCGGTATGATCTCCACGCCCGACGAGTTACTTCAGGTACGCGCGTCGCTAATAGCGTTCAAGTTAGATGTTAAGTTTGCTAGATTGACCTTGCGATCCCGTTTATCCTGAGACATTGGCATCCTTGACGTTTGCAGACGATGATCAAAAGAACTCTGTCGGAGTACAATTGTCCGCCTCACGTGATTGACGAGCTGATGGAGAACTGCCACGAGAGGAAATGGCCGCCAGGTTTAAATTCTCTCGAGACCAGACAGAACTCTCGCCGACAATACGACAACTACGTGTGTAAAAGAGTGCCTGGCAAGCAAGCGGTGCTGGTTCTCCACTGTGATAATATGCACATGCCGGAGGATATGATGGTCGAGCCCGGGTTAGTGATGATCTTTGCGCATGGTATCGAGTAGGTTGGACATCCTATGTGAATACGATCCATTCAACACCGTCACGACTCCAGAAATACTGATATCACACATTGCGAACGCGGAGGGAGCGAATTTGCTCGGCCACAGTTTGCGAATTGGCACAAGTCATTCCTGGATCTTCGTAGGATCAACTCGACAACTGTCAACCGTCGCGATTTGTTGTCAAGTTTCACTCGGGGAAATTCCTTCGTCGGGATACTCGCGCGTTTACGGTTAGAAACCTGAGGTTGCGAGATTGTCCCTGTTGCGAGTTCGCTCCGAAGATAAATCGCAGCCGTCGAGCATACGCAAACGATGATGAAACGCTGTCGCCCTTTGTGATACGCGATTCTAGAGGCGCGATTGTTGCGTACAGGCTCGATTGGGATTGTAATTGTAACCGACACGGATAAGTAACACCGACAAGTACGTCTCTTGATTCCCGTCGGATTCGACTCACCGTTATCGGTTACCTCGGTCGAACTCCCGCAGAAAAGACTCAATCGAGTATCTGAATCGTTGCACTGTGATATACCACTTCGGTGAGAAACCTCCTGAAATCGCGTGATAAATGACCGACCATCGCCTCTCCTTTTTGGCCGGTCGATCGATCGAATTGTACATTTTTTCATTGGCGGTTCGTTTATCGTTCATTTCAGGATCATTTACGGATACTTAGAAGTCTGTGAAAATGTTTTACTATAATACTTTAGAAAATGAGAGAGAGAAAGAGAGAAAGCAGCGTAAACGAAGATTGGAGAAAACTCTCACCAATGATCTAAGCACAAACAAGAAATCGCAGAATGGAATACAAATTTCCTACAGAGCTATCTGTTTTTAAATACTTGACGCGTATTGGTCCTATCAGAAATCGCGTTTATCCTTTCGATGATATTTTTCTCCCGCAATTCCCTTATCCCTGATCCTTTTCTTCTTGAAAATCCTAAGCAAATGCGTCGTAGCCAAGCTAATCATTATTATCGTCTGCATACGAATCTAAACATTGTTTCCTAAAAATTGTTACAACTATTTGTTAAATATGCTACAAATAGCTTAGTTGCTCTGAGTTGATGACACATTTTGCTTCCTCGTCATATCACTGTGTTTAGGGTGTTCTATCGTTTTGTTAAAAAATTGAATCTAAACTTTTATAAGGTATGCTATCAAGATGCTCTTTGATAGCGGTAGAACACCCTATGTAAATTAATCACTGTAACGATTAATTAGTTTGTATCGCAGTACTGATGTATGATTTGCGAATCGCGTAACGTTAAAATGCCTCTTCATGTAGCTTCTTAACTTGCCACGATGTACTATTGTAGGACCAACAGATTATTAACAATTCTTTTTCGACGATAATCGATCATGTAACTTATTTTTATGGTACATGATAATGCCACGTAATGGAATAGAACAAAATTGTTGGAATTTGTTCTCTCGGAAAAAGTTCTCTCGCTAGTTCCGTCAGTATGACTCTTGCGTAACTTCGCAATTACTTCCAATAAGTCTTCGAAAAAGTCAAATACGCAAATACGTATTTAAGCTAGAAAACGCGAGAATTGTACGTACTATGTCTTTTGTATCTTTTTGTCCGATAAATTATATTATCTGATAAACATCGTGAGTTTTAAGTGTAATGTCTAGAGATTGTAGTAAGACAATTCAATGAACAGGCTGATTTTATACATATATATATATATATATAGTATATAATTGTAATAAAGCACCGATTTTACATATCAAGTGATTTGATATACCTTATATATATTTTTTTTTCGTTTCTCACTTTAATCAGACTGTACAATCATAAATATCTTGAATTATGCACAAATAGATTCAGTTAAACAAATAATGTGTGTAACTGTATTGGCAGATACAGTTTACTAGCAATATACAGATGCTCTCAAACTAGGCAAGAAACGTTTTCAATGGCTGTGAATTCTGATTTAATGATTAATGATGTACGATTTTCCACGTTCTTTTGGAATATTAAATCTCCAATACTGAAATGACTCGTGACCAATAATGATCGTAATGGCAATTTAAAAAAAGATCTATTTTACAATAAGTTTTTTTTTCTAAAATCCTAATAAAATATTCATGTACGCATAATTTTTTTGAATTTCGTTTTAACATTTTTATTGTTTCTTGGAAAGCATAATTTATTTCATTGCTAAGCTTATGTAAAAATCGTCATGTGCGCATTTGTTTTCGTGATTGCACTTGTAGGATAATTTTTATGTAACATTCTAGTGTAATAATCGCAGATGATTTGCTATAATTTGCTATGATACAGAGCAATAATGATTTAGTAGATTGTGTATTTATTAATATAGTTTTATTCTTCCGTTAAAATTTTCAGAATATTGTGTTTACGATCGCAAATCGTTTCATTATCATCGTTATAGTGATAAGACATTGTGTCTTGACGAAGAGGCAAGCATTACGTTATAATGACGATTTCCGTAACTTTAATGATACCAAGACTGAGCCAAAAAAGAAGACTAAAATCCATGAGAATGAACGTTTAAGAACTTATTATATAAGAATTTGGATTTATTTACAAGATGTGCCGAATGCGATAACGCACAAATATTACATATATATAATTCACAAAATAAAAACACTTATGACTTTTACAAAAATTATTACCTTTTTAATGATCTGCATCGTTGTATTAAAACCAACTTCCTGCGTGCCTATACATATTTTATAACTTACATCCTTTATTAAATCATATCTTTGGTTACATCGAGCCTCCTTATCCTGTACGAATATTTTTTCATAGCTCTTATCGAGAAAGTATTTTTCCTAGGAAAACATTAATGGAACTACAAGTGCGAAAGTGTTTGACCTATTATTTTTGTTATTTTTAGATCAGAAGCGCATTCAGAGATTAATAAACTATTTCAAAGAGGAGGAGAAGAAATAGTCAGATCAGAATTTTGGATAAATTTGTATCACCTATTAGAATTCTTTCATCATTTTAAATAGTCGGGCATACACCGGTGATAACTTGTCCATAAGCTCGTTCAGGCCTGATGCTGATGGGGTTCATGTTGATCAGAATATTGTTGATGCAGCCGACGTATTGAGCCTGCGATGTACTACCTCGTAATCTTCTTCCAAGCATCGGATGGCCACCGATAAATATCGGATGTTTTGACAAGACTCTAGCCACGTTTTTGTTGCCGATTCCGGGCGGTGCCGGCTTGTGATCGACCGACAACAGTACTGCATTTTTCTGTTTGACGGCTGTTGGGGGGGAAAAAAAGGAAAATAATAGTAGTACGTGCGATTTAAGTAACATCGACAATAAGGCACTGCTAACCATCAGTGTCTTGTTTTAGTTATTGATACATTAATTTCCAATTGATTTTAAAAAATTATCAAAATTGAAATTACGACTCCAAGAGTACTTCGTAACGTTAAATTAGCTCAGTATACTATTTACTAGGGCTGTTACTTTTGATAACTTCGAAGATTCGAAGCTTCGAAAGTTCGAAGCCTTCGAAGGAAATCACTAGCCCTACTATTTACCTCGAATATTGTGCCAGTGGCCATCGCACAGGGAGTTTGGTTTCGTTGGCTCGAACGCGGTCTCGATCGAACCTCTCTGCGTCTTTATGAGGAACTTGACGGTACCGTTGACCATCTCTAGTACAAGATAATCCCTTTTACCGTGCACTGACAGTAAGTGTCCAGATGTTGATCGCGGTTTTATGTCCATTTGTATATCGACCGTGCGGTCCACGTTAAATCGATCCACTAAAAATCAATAAAATATTTCCTTTAGTTTAACAATATTCGATTCAGCTAATTGTTATTATCGACTTGAAAACAAAACATTTTTTTATTTAACGAAATGTACACTTGTATTAATGTTTCCTCACCTGCTTTGAATAAATTACTGCCGTTTCCTGGGAAGAAGAAAAGACCAGGTTCGATTCTCTTCGAGCAGGGTATTACGCCTATTTTTTCCGATGGCTCTCCAACAAGTTGTCCATTCATCATGAAATTTCCTAGACAGCCGTTAAATGTTTTATTGACACCCTGAAACAAAAGAATTTGTCATATCCTTGCAATCCTTATTATTTGTATGAGATTAAAAATCAGGCAATCTCACAATATTCGTGTACGCGATCTCAGATAGCTCCGGCAAAACGCCACCCACGAAGAACGGCGGATTGACATTGATAGTGGTGGTGTGTCCCGGCGAGGATTTAGTCACCGATTCTTCCTCGTCCACAATCAGCTGGCCGGTGTTACCTTGTCTCTTGAAGACCACGATATGCCATTGATTGTTGTTGATCATCTTGTTACTCTCTAGCAACGCTGCTCCACTGCCGCAATCGAACTTGTAGCGAATCTTGAAGGACAATTTTCCAAGATCAAGGTAATCTGTAAGATAATTTTTCCACGCGAATAAAATTACTTCCTTACCATTCCACCGACCATGTACACGGCGATTAAGTCTTGCTTATTAAGGTCGGAACTATAGAATATAATTCCATCGTCCGCCATTGTTTTTATATCAATCTGGAAATCGTAGTCATCTTTGTATCGTCCATTTAATGTCCTATATTCTAATCTGCTGTCCTTCGCAGTACCTTAAAAAGAGTCATTGAAAGTTGTTTGAGAAATTTTATCGACATAAATCGATATTGGATCAAATGTAATATTTTCATCTGTGTATTTTTTCAACTTATTTAGAAATGCGCAAATTACCAAATCGCCAAGCATTCTCAAGGTCAGGATCCGTTGCCGGGTAGTATGGCAAATGACACTTGTCGACAGTTTGAGGCTGTTCGGTTGGCCTTTGCGTAGTAGTGAAATCATAACCCGCGTTGATTCGTCCTTCCAGTTCTGGTTCATCCTCTTTATCAACTCCCTCTAGGTCGACGTCTATTATATCTAAAAGAAAATTATTTGTTTCTTTCCTGTTTGCCCATCATTGCTTATAGTAATACGATTTTTATATGTATAAATCATTTCACTCTATTATTGCAACGATTTTGCTTCGCTTACTGATTTGAGTCGACAACTCCACTGTATCCTCCGGACCTTCCGACGGTAGCAACGGTGGCAAAAATTCAGGTTCGACAATCGGTGTCAAAACTAAAAAAAAAGGTATAAGCGATTAAATCTAGCTAAAACGCATAGTTTAACCACAATTTTATTAGTCAATATTCCAACGTACGCGTCTGATCACCGCCCTTGCACTTTCCTAGGAACGCGTGTGGTCTCTCGGTCGTGTTGGCGAAATTGATAATGACCTCGCTGTTGAGAGTTGCGTCACCAATGCAGCCGACGAAGGGCACGGTTTTGCCATCCGAATCGACACTTAACGGTAGTCCACCGATGTACAAGTTGCCGTAGAGGAAATGCAGCGGCGGCGGCGCCGAATCGGTACTGTAGCTCTTTGTGTCGTCAATATCGAGACTAAGAGCCGACTGATCATGAGTGGCGGTGACCACGTGCCATTCGTTATCGTTGAACCTAACGTCCGACGGATTGGTCCTGAGTTCTTCACCCTGGCTGTTGAATACTAACTGGCCGTCCACCAACGATAGATAACTAGTAGCCGCGTTCTGTTGATCGTTGTTGATTGCGTAGAAAATCAGGCCGTCGCTGGCCGGTGTCTTGAACTTGAGATTCACTTGTAGACCGTCGGACGCCAAATTGCGCCATCTCACATAACCAGGTGTGTTTTTCTCGAAAGAAACGAGACTGGCAAACTGAAAGAAATAATTCCAAGTGTTAGCGATAAAACGGAAAACTGTATAATCCGAAGATTTAGGTTTTTCAAACAGAACACTTTTACATTTATAATCTGCGATTAATTACCCTGACTGGACAACCGGGCATGACTCCAAATGCTTGCACGTTGTGCGTGAGATCGACCGAAGTGTCGAGAATAACGACATCGTCAATGCAGCCTTCGAAGCCATTGTTGGTAACCGATTCGTAAGGATGCTTTGCGTTAGGTGGGTATCCACCGAAATAAATGTGGTCCGATGAAGCCAGAGGCTTGGTAGTTCCTTTCTCTTGACTCGATGCAACCGTGTGATCGTCGATCTTGAGCGCGCCCATCGTATCCTGTCTGATGGCCTCCAGAGTGTGCCAGTTACCATCATTGTACTTATCCGAGGACCTCAAAATAGTCGTACCCTCACCAAGATCGTACTGGTACAACAACTGACCCTTTCTCATTTCCAGAGACAAGAATTGTCTGCCTTTGCCCATTAAATAAATTAATCCATCCTCCGCGAAGGTCTTGAAAGATAGTTTGATGATGAACTTTCTGGTGTCTGGCGTAATCTGCGAACCCTTTTTGCTGAGGATTGCATAGCCGTGTCGATCGAAACGGTATCCCCTGCTCGGCGCGAAATTAATGAGCTTATCGCGTTCAAACGCGCTCTTCTGGTTGTTTTCACCGTCGACAAAGTTCCAGAAAGACACCGGTATATCGCCTATCATCAATTCTTCCATTTCGCCCTCGAAAGAAGACGCAGTCACAGCGTCCTGAATGCGGAAAGACGATGGATAACCACCGACAAAGAGTTTTGAATGCTCTTGATCTACGTTGAACACATAATAAGAGCCTTGCAAGGCCCGCTCCTTCTCGTACAATCTATCCTTGCCCTCACCAATATCCTCGCGAACGATTAATTTGAAATTCTTGCCAGTCCTATAAGAAAAAGTTGGAAAAATATCAATACAAAATTACTTTAGACTAAGTAATGTCAAGTAGTGTCGATGTCAACCTGTCGATAATTATCTGTCGCCACACATTATCCGATACGAATTTGTTGTGATTTATCTTCTCTGGTCCGGATCCCAGATCGACTATGAGCACAGGATATCCGCTTTCAATCAATAACGCCATGAAGTCATGCTACAAAATATAAAATTATCGTTAGAAACATTTTCTTCATATTTCTTTCATCCAAATTAACTCCCTTTTAAAATTGTTACATTAGACTTTTGGACTCACCATCTTAGAGCGTGGTAGTTTTGTCTTCTCCTCATTGCCAAGGTATAGCAAAAAGCCGTTGGTCTTGTTGGTCCTGAAATATAGGGATATTTTTGTGGATGTAGCTAGCAACGGCAGGCTCTCTGGATTCTTCAGTTCCAAAGTAGTGTTCCTGTAGAAGGTCAAGCCGGTCTTGAATCGATTAGCCAGTTCCCGGGCATTCGCGATTTTGTTTCTCAGGGCCTCGATTTTACTTTGTAGATCGGTCCCAGTTGCATCAATCGATTTCTGATTACCATTCAGACTGTTTAGCAAACTGGTAATGTTCGGCATTACTTTGTCTACAATATCCAGCTGCTTGTTTGCCTGCGATATGTCGCGGATTGACTCTGACGTATTTTTCGAAAGTTGCTTTGTCTCTCGCAGATCTTCCGGGATCTGATTGACGATGCCGTTCAGGTCATCTATGGCGACCTTGATGTTACGCTCCACAATCACTGCTTGATTCATGGCGTCATGTGCGACCGACGACGATTGCGAAGGAATGTTGCCAAGCGTCCTGCAAATTTTATTTATCAACGGATAAGTGATTTAATACTCACCATGCCTTTAAATAAATTTGATTGTATAATTTTTATATTTAATTATAGAAAAATAAGATCATTTGATGACTATAATGCAGAAAGCAAGCTGTACTTGTCAATGGAGTCGAGAATCTCCTTGTTGCGTTTATTTTGACTGTCAATCAGAGTTGCGTTGTTCCTTGCTTCTCGCAAATCGTTCTGAGGCTGACTCGTCGTTTTTTTTAAAGCGTGCTGCGCGACGGTAAACAATTTGAAGCTCTCGTTTCGAGTGTCCAGCATGTTTTGTTCGATTCCATCAGTCTGACATTAATAAACAAAATGAAACTTAACCAGTAAACGGACATGAATCAGGGTAATAATATTAAGATTATAATATCCAGTTCTTTACCAGCGATGTTGCGTTCTCAGCAGCGATTATGGCATGGTCTGCAGCATCTTTTGCGGCTTGAATTGCGGTCTCAATATCTCTGTATGCTGAAACGGCTCTCACTGCGTTAGTGTTGCGAGTGTCGGTTAGCAAACTATCCAATTCCAGCGAACGATTGTTCAGGTATGCCGCGTGAATATTAGCTTTTCTGACTGGCTCACTCAGGTTGAACAGCATTTCGTCATTCATAGAAATAGTATTGTTCAGTCGATCGGTTGCGTCGCTGAAAGTATTAGCTTCTAAAGAAAAGAAAAATCTATTATTTTTGCGATTATTTTTATCATTAGTTTTACTCAATTCTCAATTAAAATACCAAAACGTGGAAAGATCACTCACGTAGAAGATTCATATAGTTTGTCGCTTGGTTAAGAAAATCGCTGGCGTTATTCTTGAGCTGCTCTCCAGCTTCCAAGTCCTCTTTCGCTTCAGCGGTGGAGTTTTTCACAACGTCGAGGTTGCCAGTATGCGCAGCGATTCTGTTTTCTCGATTTAGTTTATCCACGATGGTGGCAATTTCTTGAGCTACCTGCACGATGTCCAGCAGGTCATCCATTTTGGCGCTGGCGTTTTTAATCTTGTCACTGAAATTGACCGCGGCGGAACTTAGGTTGCTAACTGGAAAGTTGTAATTCTGCATTTCGGAAATCAGGATATTAGCTTGGTCCGCTTGGTCTACGGCGTTGTCACGAAATTTAACAAAGGAGACGTCCTTAATTTTCTTCAGAATCTCTTTTGCCTCGTTCAGTGCATGATCGACCTTGGCGCTCGTCCCCAGTTCAATATTCAGCGCCAACGATTGCACTTCCGATACGATGTGATTCATTAGGTCGATCTTGTGCACCACATCTGATTCCAAGGTCTTCATGTCCTGCAACGTGTTCTCGGCGTTGTCCTTCCACTTGACGCTGTCCTCGGCAGTGAAATCAATTAGTCGTTTTTGATTGTACACAGTGTGTTCTAATTGCTTTAGCTTCTCCTGCAATGGCACCAGATTCACCCAACTTGGATCCAATAAATTAACTTCGGGATAGAGCTCGTTGACTGTGTCGTTGATAAACTTGAGTCGTTGATTCGTAAAGTATCCTTCCGCGACCGTCTGAAAGTGTGTGCATTAAGAATATATCATGTTAGATTAATGTAGTGTGGCATATACATATATACACAAAATTGTCTTTTATTTACACTATACTCGCTTGAGACAGGATTTAACAACTCGGTTAGTTTATCCGTAACATCCAGAAGACTACCCGTGCAGCTGCCGCAAGAGAAGCAGCCCTGTGCTGGGATGAGCACGAACCGACGCGGACAGTGGTCACACTTGTCACCAATCACACCAGGTAAACAGGTGCATTGACCGGTGGTTGTGTTGCAAGACACGCCGATGGAGTAACCAGTGTGACATTGGCACGCTAAAAGAGACACACGATTTTACATACGATTAGTCTAATGATACATTTAATCTTCAATTCAAGCAGATTTTAGTACATAGTGACTACTCAATGTAAGAATTGTCGAACGATTTAAGAGAGATTGGTGTTGTTCGTAATAAAAATAATAAAATGATAAAAGCAAATTTTTGTTCCAAGGGTTTTCCACTGACAACTTTACTCACGATACTTGTAAAAGCGACCAAATAATGATTCAAGAGAGATAGATGGTCTTACATTCGCATCCGTCCGATGTGTACTTGTAATATCCCTGAATGCACTGGTCGCATCTGCGACCAGTGACACCTGGCATACACTTGCATTGTCCCGTTTCTCCATCGCACTGGCTGCTCTCCGAGGCCAGGTCGCAGTCGCATGACCTGCAACCGTCGCAAGTGTCGAAGCCATAATGATCGGGCGCGCAGCGATCGCATTGCTCGCCAATAACATTTTCTTGACAGAAACATTGACCGCTGTAGCTGTCGCAGTGTTCTATCCCGCAGTCGTTGCATACGCAGCTACGACAGTCTTTCCGCTCCACGGCGTCGCCAAAGTAACCAGGGGCGCACAGATTACACGCCTCGCCATAGGTATTGTTCAAGCATTGTAAACACTGGCCGGTGATACTGTCGCACGAGCCAATTTGATTGGTGTCAATATTGCCGGAGCATTCGCACGGCTTGCAATAATCACCGTATATCTCGGGATTGCCGTAGTAACCGGCGGCGCAGGCTTCGCAACGAGCACCGTAGTATCCGGGCAGACAGTCGCAACTAATCTTATTGCCCTCCTCGTTCACCTCGCAGCCGGTGGCAAAGTTATTGGAGGCGACCGGCAACGGGCATGCACAAATTAGACAATCCGTCGGTGTGCCAACAGTGGCATTACCGTAGTAGCCTTGCTCGCAGTATTCGCAGTGATCGCCGACAGTGCCATTCTTGCAGTTCTGCGTAGAGAATCGGGAAAGTTACAGATTAAAAAAAAAAACTGTTTGATGGAACTCTATCCTGAGGAAATCTCTCAGAGTCTCACCTGACAGATGCCAGTGTTTACGTCGCACGTAGCCGCATGACCGTTGCATTGACAGGGTGCGCAGTAGCCTCCGTATGGTCCCGATTTAATCCTGTAATATCCTGAAGCACATTCCTCACATGAGAATCCTTGATAATTAGGTGGACACTGACAGTGCTCCACGCTGCTAGCCGGGATGCTGTATTGAGCCGAGTACTGTTCCGTTGTAACGTCCAAAGTCGCATATGATAATCTGTAAAGACATTTATTAAGGTAATAATAACGATTCCACAATTTCGACGAATCGTCGAAAGAACCATCCAAGATACATACGAAGCCGTGATACTAGGGTTCCAGTACGTGGCACGCACGTATATTCCACGTAGATCTTCGAGAATAACCATGAACTGTTCTCTGGTTGCGCTGAGTCTGTTGCTAGTTAAGAAGTTAGACTCGACGAGACGGACGGACGCCCTAAAGTTCACAAAGGATGGTGGCTGCTCGTCGGAATAATAAAATAACGTAGTATCGGCGCCTTGAAGGATAACGTCGGCGGCGCTAACAGCCTTGCCGAAGGGTCCCGTGCTATAGTAGACGCTATAATTGAAGTAGCCACCATAAGAAGTCAACATTTTACCGAGATAGGTATCGGGGGCCGAAAAGTAAACGACGTTCTCGAAAGTGTCGTTGGTGATGAGCGAGACTGTGAGTGTAGTTGCATTCTCTACAGGATAGGTCGATAGATTGGTGAAATTGCCGCTCTTATCAATAGGCGTAACCAATTCCCAATCGGCCATATCCATGAGATGGGTCCGGTAGAGATTCGCAGAGGCGCACCTGGTGAATGAGTAATACATCATTTGTAGAAAAAAAACTGGCACGTTAACAGCAATTAATCCCTATTAATAATAGTAGATTTATAATAGCGCGATATAACGCGTACCTGGTTGTCTTGCCAAAGCAGAAACACTTGGTACAACCATCCGCATTATCAGCCTGGATGTCGAAGGTGCCCTCGCGGCACACATCGCACGCTAAACCTTGCACATTCGCTTTGCAGTAGCACTCGGCCGTATATTGGTCGCATATCTCGCTGGTTGTACCGCGTAAATCACAGTCGCAACGCTCGCAATGTGGGAACTGCGAGTGACCAGGGTGACAGCGGTCACATTGACGGCCCATCACGTTCTCCTTGCAACGGCAGCCATTGTCGTCGCATTGCAGATTACCGTCCAGGACGCCCAAGGGCGAACAGTTGCACTCCTCGCAGCCGATGAGCGGGTGGAATCCGTAGGTGCCAGGCTCGCATCGGTCGCACCGTTCACCCGTCACCCGGGGCGGACAGGTGCATACGCCCGTGTATGGTTCGCACAGAGCCGGACAGTTACACGGTTTGCATCTAGGAAAACCGTAGAATCCAGTTTTGCAGATCTCGCATCGTCTACCGATGATGTTTGGTCGACAGGGACATTGGCCGCCGAATTTCTCGCACTCGAAGCTGGTAGACCCCTCGCTGTCGCAGTTGCATGACAATGCACCGTTGTTATAATTAGTTATTAGAGAAAAACTAGAGTCACGACAAAAACCGTCCTCGGTGACATTGATGTGAAAATGGTTACTGCCACAACGCTTGATGAACTCTTTCGTTTGGTCAAACTGCAACTTACTGAGGATTTTCTCGTTATACTGATCCGCCGGGATCACCAAGATGTAATCCAACCAGATACCGTGGCCGGTATCTTTCAGCGTCAGCACAAAATTTTCGATCAGCTGAAACCTGGTATCATCGTCATCGATTTTACGCACGATACTACGACAGCCGCTGTTACTAGGACAATGGGGAACCGGCACCTTTGCCTCGTAAAATTTGCCATTTTGCACCAGCACGTCTAGTTCGAACTGAGGATGATCCGGCTGATAATACTGTATCACAAAGACGTATTCTCCCGGCTGGGATACCTTTGCGTGGATATCCACCATGTTGCCATCGCCTAGATAGATCAATTTAGTGGCGTTATCGTAAATACCGGGAGGTCGATTTTCAGTTTCGGGAAAGTCGATGGACGTCTCGAACTCGATCTTTTTGGCGTCGGCGGCACCAGGAAACAGTCCTTGTACACATTTGCCGTTTTTCCTTACACAGATAGATTTAGGTTTCACGTAATCCAGCGACCATTGATGATAGGGAATCGCCACTATCGAGTCGATCGCGACGTTGGACGTCGGTTCTCCGGTCAGCACCAAGCTAACATAGTTCGATGGGAAATTCATGACGGCTACCTTGCCGTAGGTATCGGTGACAACCTGTCGACACGTGCTGGTGTATTTACAGGGATTCAGAGTGACTTTGCCCTTGCCGACGGTATTCGCCTCGATTAGCAGCACCGACGTGTCTTGCACGTCCCGCGGAGTGACATAAGTCACTACGAGAACATGAGGACCAGGTTTGCTGATTCTCAATTCGAAGTGGATCTCTTCTTGCTGATCGTTGATAAGAGGAACTTCATCCTCATCGATCTCTTGCAAAGTCTCGCGATCGGTAAAGTACTCGGTCAACGATATCCGTACATTGTTCTCGCTGAGAAACCCGCCGGCGCCGTGGACCGAATCAAATCGTGTCAAATTCGGATATCCGTAGTGTCTGCAAAGTCCCTTGTAGCCGACTTCGCAGGGCACGTTCACATCCTGCGTCAATATGCCGCCCTCGTAGTATTCTGACGGCAATAGAACGAAGTAATCAAGGAACATAATCTTCTTCGTGGCAATCTTGATGGACCAGTGTCCAGGATTCATTACCATGGGCGACGGATGGTTGCCGTGTGCCCCGGCGACCGTTACGAAGGACGGTCGGTTGGTCGGCTTAAAGTTGACTTTAAACTGTTGCTCTACCTCGGATGGATTGTCAGGAGTGATAGTGATAGTGCCGAGGATCGGCTCATTGTTGCGATTCACGTAACGCAAGATCATTCGATAGAGGGAAGACTTGCCGATGTCCACACCCAGCACAATTTCATCTTGCTTATCACTAAACTCAGCGTAACCCTTCCAACTCAAGTTCGGAAAGATGTCTTCCTCGAAGCCGTAACGGACGGCGTTGCCGATGGGGGTTTTGCCAACCTCGGCCTCGTATTTATATTGATGAAGAGTAGGGAAGTAATGTGCCTTTAAAGGCTCCTTACACGTAAGACCGGTCACCCGTGGTTGGCAAGGACACTGGCCAGTTTGCTTGTCGCATATCGGATTCACGGAACCGCCAACGTCGCAGGCGCAATCTTAATGCAAAAAATGCGTCATGTTAAAAATTAAATATTAGGAAACGGAAAAATCAAGTGACTTACCGAAACAACCGAAGAGATTGCTTTCCTGAAGATTATACGTTCCGTCGATGCATCGAGTGCATCCTCTGTCGGTTACGCCAGGTTTGCATATACACTGTCCAGTTTTAGTGTCACACTCGCCTATACTGCCGACGACTCCAGGAATGTTACACTGACATTCTTAAATGCAAATATGCTTTGTAAAAAATCATGTGTTATATATAATTATATATGTTTTAAATATATGTCACGTGTAACTATCCTTTTGACATTCGCCAAACATAATTACTATAGATGTAATAATACTTTCACAAAAATTATTATCTCCGAAACAAATCCGAACCTTCGCAACCGTCTGAATTATAAGACTGCAGATTCCAATAAAGTGGCTTGCACTGATTGCATATCCTTCCCTCGACTCGCTCCTTGCACTGACAAAGTTCGCCGGGCGGCAAGGAGCCACAACCTTGGAAAGTCGCGACTATGCCAGCCGGATCGCAGTTGCAACCCTCGCAGGTAGGGAAATTGTAGTAGCCCTCTTTGCACTGCTCGCATCGAATACCATCGAAGTTCTCACGACATTGACATTTACCTTCGCTATCGCAGGATACGCCGATCGAGCCATGACTATCGCAATTGCATGCTAAGAGCGAAATATTGAAAAACATTTATGACAAAATATAATCACTGATTACTTCAATTAATAAGATACACTAAAATGTGCTCAGATTATTAAAATACTCCAAGGTAATAAAATATATTATTACAAAGATTTGACTGAGATATAGTAAACAACGATAATTTTGGCGCAAGCCAAAGTAATACCAGTGCATTCCGGATATTTGTAGTATCCTGGGCTACATTGACTACAAGTTCTTCCGGCGAAATTGGCAAGGCACGAGCACTTGCCCGTGGAATCGCAACTGATGCTGGATGAGCCGACGGAGCTACAGTTGCATGGTACACAGTTGGGATAGCCGTAATATCCTGGGATACACTGATCGCATCTAATGCCACCGTATCCTTCTTTACACAAGCAAACACCATCGGATTTGTCGCAAATACCGGATTGCGTTCCGCGCGCATCACAATTGCAATCTGCATAAAGAGATCATGTTTTAGAGATCATAAATATACAATAGAAACGGAACTAACAAATCCTATTCAATTTTGCATTTTGTAATTGTCTTTATAAAAAATAAGAGTCTAAGAATCTTTTTACTTGAAGAAAAGAAAGAATTAAATCGCTGTAAAATGAAGAACAATAATAAGAAAAAATAACCACGAGAAAACTAGCCAGTTGAGTTGACTATAAGTTTCCCGTCTCAATTTTAAATAATATGTTGAAAATAGACTATGATATTAAAAATATTGACATACATGTGCAAAGAGGATAATTAAAATACCCGTCCTCGCAAATGTCACACGTTCTGCCTCCATAGTTGTTTTTACACGTGCAGTTACCGGATACCACCTCGCAGATATCATTCAGGGCGCCCACAGGATTGCAACCGCAAACTGAAATTGTAATGATTGATGTTACCTTCTAAGTAACTTTATCCCGCAGCTCTCGAAATAATTTTCAAGAGATTCACTCACATAAGCAGTCGGGGAAATTGTAATATCCTTCCGCGCAGAGATTGCAATAGTGACCGGCGTAGTTTACCTTGCAGGGACAATAACCGTCGGTTGCTTCGCAATGATAACCGTCTGTGCCCCGCAAATCACATTGGCAGGGCAAGCAGTTAGGAAAGCCAAAGTATCCGTAATTGCAAGAATCGCAATCCGGCGGTGTGAACTCTTTTCGACACTCGCATCTTCCCTCGGAATCGGTGCAGTTCCCGGTCGAGAAAAAGTCATCACAGTTACAAGCTAATTAAACGTAAAAAGTTCAACTTGTAAAATTCATAACGATTACAAAATACCAAGTTTGTATCTTAAATAAACTTACGTTGACACACGTCGGTTGCGTTGAGTGACTTATTCCAGGGTCTGTAGAACTTGGGTTTGCAACGATTACAATTGATACCCTCAGTGTTATGTTTACAATTCTGACAAATACCACCACCCTCGTAATTTCCGTGGATGTCCAATGACAAGTGTTTCTCGTCAATCTCTGAACTGTATGTGCACTCATCCGAATGCCCGAAACAGTTGCAGGCTGTAAATATTAATTCGCTGCTAAAGAAAGACAGTCTACTGGCAAATCTCCCTTGCACTCACAAATTAAAATTGTTTAAGGCATAAAAACTAACTTGTTCTATTATAAGTAATTCACCGATTCTAGAAGATAATTTCAGCAAATAAAATTAGTGTTCTGAACAGATTTGTTTGTTATTCGTGTAATAACTAATAGAATTTACTGCTAGCAAACTTTTCTTTTCAATATTAAAGAAAGTAAATTGTTTTTACGTTCGCATACGAATTTCTGCGACGCTGTGGACTGTCTCCATTTTTTCTGTTCGAAACCCTTGCAACATGTTGCACACTGAGGTCCGCAGGTATTGTGTTGGCACCGGCAAACCAATTTCTTTGGCAAGTTGGGATCCTGAATGTCGCAGATATCCGCGTGACCGTTGCACATGCAACGACCGCCGATGCTGATATCTTTAATCGAGTAAAAGTACTGCAATACAAATGAAATTCTTTAGAAATCGAATTATAAAAAGTTACAAAAATATTGGACGATGAAGAATATCGATTATAAACAATTTGTTTCAGCAACAAGCATAGATATAAATTATTTATTATAAAGCAACGTTTCGACGTCACTTACTCTTCTAGTAACGGTAGGATCCTGACGAACGACAGACATCAGGTGCCCCAGCAAATTCTTCGTCCGGAGAAAACGAAAACGAACGTTTGTCGCTCGCGTCCATTCTTGTAGTAAAGTCGAATTGAAATAATGCTTCGCCGAGGGTCGATTATTTAGGATTGAAATTGGAATCTCGCCGCCCTCGAGTGGGACAACCTTTGAGTATTCAGTCGTGCAGATTACGCTATCGTCTCGAATAATTGGTTTGTGGCTGTCCACCCCGAAATAGGTCAGACAATCGCTGGCGGAATCCGAAAAGTATTGCCAGGGTGACCAGGTCTTGCCGTGATCTTTCGACTTCTCTAGGACCCAGAGTCCTGGCCGAGGTGAATTTCCCATTCGCACGTAAACGTAAGCCACGTGAAATTCCTAAAAGGAAAAAAATGTCGTTTGTTTTAATCAAAATTTTTCCTTCTAGTTCCTCGTTGTTGTCTTTAGATAAGCATTATATGTCCGTCTTTCCCTTTGCTTTTCCCGAAACTGTCTTGCCGCAGTAATTATTACATTATTACATTATTTTTCGGAGAAATCCATCATTGCTTTGCCTGTTAAAACTTATTGGCTTTCAGGCATTTAATTTCGTACGTGTGCGTGCCTGTTATTTCAGACAGGATAACGTGAACCAAGGGTAAAAACCGAGGACTGAATGCCAGATGTGTGCCACCCATGGTTTCGATGCGGTAAGAGACACCGTCCTACAGTTTACGTGAGAGAAAAAGTGAGATGGAGAGATAGAGAGATAGAAAGAGAGATTTATTCTTTGAGACAGTAGGTTCGAGAAATTGGGGAATATAAAAAATCTAGAGCAAAATAATATAGGAAGGAGGGAGGGAGGAAGGGGGAGGGAGGGGGAGAAAGAGAAAGAAACAGGAACGGTAAACCAACGGTGTTAAATAAGCCTTTCTAAGATGATTAGCGGAAGAGTGACAGCTATTGCGTACGCTGCAGCCGCAAAGATAGACTGCACTTCTGATAACAGCTAATTGCATTAAGAAATAAGTTATGTCCAGATATACAGCGTGTTACGTAAAATTTCTCTCCATTTACGCTATTAATTATATGAATAAATATCGAAATAGTTTATATTAATTATAAAACGTATCATTGGATCAATTGTGTATTAATTGAATAAAAACTAAGATATATATGCAGAAAACTTGCGGAAAAATGCATGACTATTTTTAACAATATTGTTGACGATTCCGTTCCTTCCTCGTCTTTCATTACTCTCCGGAAGCAAACCGAAGATAAATCTTCCCACTTGCAGGAAAACGCACGCCTACTTGCGCGATAGAATGTTTACATCGCATACCGATAAAAGAATCGCGCATCATTATTTCCTGTCGTTTCTGAATCAGATCCTCTCGAATACGCTACGAAAGTTTTCATTGTACTAATCCCCATGTTTTACATCATAGTTATATTTACCTGTTCCAGGTTGATCGTCAGATTGACCTCATTATATTTCATCCCTCTGGATAAAGGTGGTGACTGCCACCAAGTTTCCATTCCATCGACCGCATATTCGGGCGGGTGCCTTTTCTCAGGAATATCAGGATCGCAATAATCGCAAACCTACCGGAAAACAAAATTATAAATGTAAGCGGAGAGAATTAACTCATTATCCGAATCTGAGAACATTTATTTTAGATATGAAATAAAGTGAAAAATTTCAAACAAGAAATTAACCCATAATTCTTATCTATTTCCTATCGTCACATGCATCCTCTACCTGCTATATTGTATGAACATTTTAAGAAAAAGTTTTGAATAACGAATCTTAATATAAAGGAGCGAATTTAGATAGTCGAAAAATAGATATGTAGACAAAGATTTCTTTCTCCGCAATCTGTGTATGACATAGAAAGCTTCTTAATTTCAGACGGGTGAACGATCGAGTGTTATCGGGAGGTCATCATTATCTTCCGTTTTATCACACTTTTCGCTTCTGGTTCACTTCGGTTTCGTCTCCTTTTACCCATATAGATAGGTATACGATGTTGTAAGCTGATGCCTTATTCTTGGTGTTAATTAATGAGATGAATGTTGGATCAGCAATACGGGCACAATTAAAATACAAAGAGATTAGCTTTCGATAATTACAATGCCAAGTGAAATTTTCAAACTTTACGATCATATTAATATCGCGGCGAAATTAAAATTCGGAAATTAAAAGCGCGTTATTTTTGTACTTATAATAAATACGTTGTACGCGCGGTTTCTACTTTCGACGAATCGATAACGAAGAATTATGTGCTCGCAAGGAAATGCGATCCTACGAGCCTATTGCATTCTTCGAACACAATCATAGACCCTGCGAACTGGTTTTTAGCTGGTTCTTTCGTACGGAAGAGCTTTGTCGTCATCCTTTGTTCTGATTCGCCGACAAAACGTTTACATGTTAATATATCACAGAGATTTAATTTTTGGAACAGCCAAGAATGGCAATAACGCTGGAGAATTATGTTATTATACAAGTATACAGAAATTAGTTTATTTATTTATAAATTTATGAATTGTTTTTTGTTTTTGAATACCGGAAACAAAACCTTGAATAAAATAACTTGGCAAAAGTTTTTAAATGTTACCTTAAAAATTAAAAATACAATTGTGTAAAGGCATACATCATACATTTGTTAATACAATGAATATTACAATAAACAAGATGAAATTATCTCATTAAATTTCTTTGTGTGTTTACCGCTCGATTGATGAAAGCTAATCTTACATCAATAGTTTAATTCATCTCTTGTGATTATTTATCGTAACACCTTATCGTAATTTCCAGATAGAAAGACAGATGAAAAAAGTGCGAAGTGATTATACATATAATTATAAATGTTTATATAAAATGTTACATTTACTTCGACGATATATGCAAATAGCTATTGGTATAAATAGAAAGACTATGTGAAAGAGGATAAGAAAAGGAAGTAATTGAGTAAGAGAGTCAATGCCTGATAAACTCTTGGACTTGTAGGACCTAATGATAGTAGATAAAATTCGGTGCGAATCTTGAAGACGAAAATATCATAATTTCTTCAGCATACGAGAGTATTCGTTAAGCCAATTTTCATCCTATTTATATCATATTGAAACAGCAGATTATTGTACATCTAAGTATCAATTTAAACTGTGAGAAAATTACTTTTCATATCTATGTATAAAAAATTTACAAGTTTTTAATATTTTGTAGTTTCAGTCAAGGATTATAAAAGTTTTCTTAACTTTTCATTTAATTTCGATTAATTGGGTTGCGAAAGAAAGTCTGATAAATTCAAATTACACACTGTATTACAAATATATCAAGCCCGTCCTTTCTATAATATATTTATCGCTGCTAGTTACCTGGCCTTGAATCAAATTGATATCTTCATCCTGATCGGCGTTCGCGCCGACGAGTTTGCAGTAAAGTTCGGGGCCGGTAGTATCGACGCCGCACGTAGCCGAGGCCACGATCTCCTTGCCCTCGGCCAAATTGAAGTACGGCGGCGTCAGGATCTCGCTCCTGGACAGCCGGACGATCAGCAGAAGACCGGCGAAGGCTGCCGGCAGCCGCATTCTGTCAGCGGCAGAAAATTCGACACCTTCTCAAATTCTTCCGAGGAAACAGCTCCACTCTTTTTTTTTTCTTCACTTTCGTCTTCTCTCCACCGTCTTCGTCTCGCTCCCTACCTCCCCCCTCGCTCTCTCTCGCTCTCTCTCTCTCTTCCTCTCCCTTTCGTGAGAGACGCGATGAAGCCTGGACGCTCTCTCGGTGCCGACTGTCTAGACTAAAGTTCATCCAGTGCCGTCGATTTGCCAGATGAGGCAAACTCGGTGGGGGTGGATCAGTGATCTTCAAGTCGGAGTTTGAGTCCCGCGTGGACCCAAGATAAGACATCCTGAGGTACCTTACGTCCTCCAAGTTCCCATCTTCATCTGAGGTTGTTAAATTTTTACGCGAATCTATTAAATTGTGCTCGTAACAAAGATTAAATAAATAAGAGAGAAGGAAAATTTTTCATTTTTACGCAATCGCCTTTTCCTGACATTTTTACATATGTATGTAAGTAGATATCGTAAATTATGGATGTTTGCATACAGTTTATGCACACACACACACACGCACACACATACACACACATATCCCAATTAAAAATTTCCTAAAAACATTAATAATTTATTTATAACGAGATCTTATTGTCCCCACCTTTTCTTACGAGGGTGATTGTACGACGAAACATAACTTTGAAGATCACTGACTTAGAAGGACCGAAACCACATGGCATCTTTCATACGCGCGGGAAGCTCTTGTTTATAGCTTGCTCAACGCTGCATTATCTTACAGGAGAGTCTGATAAATCTAACGTCTTGTATAAACAAAGTATATAAATTGTTATTGACAGCTAATTGTGAAATACTCGCGATACAATTACAGTTGTTAATTCCTTCGCTTTAAAGGTATGTAACGCGAGGGAAATAAATCGATGTCGGGGGGTAAATAATTTCTATATTTTATTAGCAGAAATAAAATATGGTATACCTTTTGTGACTACGCTCTCAACAAAGAAGTCTTACATATGGCACAAATCGTCAATTTCGTAGCATACACTTGCGACTAGATGTACAATCTCCCTGTTATTTACTTTAATCCTGCTTCAACGGACGGCTTCTGTAATAAAGAGCGGAGAACATGATGCTGGAGCTTAGCAGGACCGAGATGACGAAGTTCCCCAACAGCAATATGTCGGCAGAATCCATCCATATCGTGAATACCCTCGCTGAAACATAATTATTTGACTCGTTTCCGCAAGTTACCTTGCACACCTGAAGCGGGCAACTTACTCAGGTTAGTGAAGGCGGATATAAACCAGGTGAGAGGCGATACCGACTCCGCGTTTTTAGCTCGAAGTATAGCCAGCAACTGAACGACTTTACTGGAAGCTGAGATCGGCGTGCACATCGGCTGAAAACCCAAATAAAGCTCATTTCAAATAGAGTCCCTTTAATCAGAGTCTGACCAACAGGCGAGTTTCGGCAAAATGATGCGGGAAAGAAATGTATTCCCTCTCACTCTACATACAGCACGTTTCTCTCTTGCGTTATTATGCCAAAACTGCCCGTTGGCCAGATTTTGATAAGAGGGACTCTGGTTTCAAAGCATAATGAAAGAATAATTTGCAATATCTGGCGTTGTACCAACCGCTAAGAGTGTAAGTACGATTTTCGGAACAAATCCCAGTAGCAAGCAACTGCTCAGCGTAAAGTACACTGTGGCACCTAACAAGGACCACATGTTGATTCTCTTCAAATATTTCAGCACGAAGAATATCAGTATGTACTCCTGCACTAATATTATCGGATATTCCAAGTAGGACAATAACGAGTATCCATTCGCATAATTGTAACTGGTCATCACAGTGTAACTGAAGAACAGACAACGTTAGCAAGTTATTTGTGAAGAAAATAACAGCGAAGGGGCTCGCAAGACGCAGCCTCGTGGAGTCACCTTGTCAATTCTAAAAATAATCCCAGCATCGACATCTCATCGGCCGATTTTACAGCAATTAACTTCAATATCTGCGGAATTTTCAGTACAAAGCACATGCCTATTGTTATCAGGCTCAGCAAATCCGCAAATTGATGCAGCAGTGTCATTTTTATTGCTTCTCCTTGCCCTTTGACCGTTGCTGCACTTGTATAGGAGCTTCAATATCGCGGTATCATTATGATATAACTTTTAACTTATCCAGCTAATTGGCAAGACACTGCTTCATTTCATCTTTAATCTCTTTATGGCTAAGTCGATAATCACAGTAAAATTATCACACATCTCAGCTTCCTGCAGCACGTTTCATGAATCGTCCATGTATACCGTAAAATTCCGAGAAACTGTCACTTTCCCATCACTCGTCTGGAGACGTTACTTTTTTTTAACAGCTAAGCTAGCGCGTGCACTCTCTGCAATCAAAGTGAAATAATTATGTATTTGAAATTTGACGAAGAGGGAAATTGTAATGCACTCCAGGTCTAGCTTTCGACCGAATTGATCTTCGTTAGAAGACAGGTGCTACTAAAAGTAGAAGCAGCCAAGTCTAGTGTAGCAATAGAGAGAAACAAACCTTACGTAAGAGTCGTTTATGTTGTAAATGTTAAATTTACGTTTTTTTTACCTTTTGGTGAATTTGACGTATCGTTGTAAAACAAAGATTCGAAAGACAAAAGTCGCCGCTCGTTCCTTTAAGACTGGTTTAATCAAGCGCTAATAAACTTTTCTTGCGCCCTTATGGAAACGCTGGAAGCACCGTCGACCGTCGACCTACATGTCATTTCGCGCTACACACGATGCATTTGAGGGTTAGGAAATCTGTCATATCGATGAAACGACACGTGATATGAGCATGCGCCAACACAAGTAGCGCGCGAAATATGAAATTTAACGTCAAATTTATGTAACACATAATTCACGTCGGCAAAATGCAAAGTGTGTAAAATGATTAATTAAAACTTTATCTTTTAATTATACTTTCTTACGTTATTTCCAAAACTTATCTCGAGCCAGAGAAAAGCCTGAGAGTTGCCATAGCCGGGTTTTAGGTGATCCTCGAATGCTGTACGTACGCCTTCTGTGGACATTAGAAAACGTAGATATGCCGTGCTTTCCAGCAAGCGACACAAGTCGACACAAATGTCGTTCTGTCTTTCTTCGCATTCAATGAATAATAAAGATAGAACGACACTTGTGTCGACTTGTGTCGCTTGCTGGAAAGCACGGATTAACTACGTATAAGCTAATGGATCTGTTTTTTTATAGGTGAACTGGCTGCACTAGTTTAAAGTTTATCTTTTTCCCTCCACATTAGGAGGAGAAAGATAAGCTTTAAACTAGTGCAGTCAGTTCAGCGATAAAGAACAGACCCATGTATGAATCGCGCTTATAGATATCCGTCTTGTTGGCTAACCGAGCACATCGACGGCAAATCGCGGGGATTCACCGATCGCGCGATGATATCGATCACTAGTTATTCGCAGAGAGCAATCGCGATTTCTTACCGTACTTGTCGCGAACGCGTATCAAAAAAGTATAATTATACGATATACGGAAAGGCGCGGCCGGGCCACTAACTCATTCGACTGTCGCCGCGTAAGGGTGGAGTCCCATGGAGCGGAATACGCGGAAGCGGAATCAGCGGATCGCCAATCACAAGACCGTTTCGACGGAATTTTTGAAAGGGCTCTATCAGAATAATCTTGCGATTGGCGATCCGCTGATTCCGCTTCCGCGTATTCCGCTCCATGGGACTCCACCCTCAGACCCTGCGTACGGCAAATGCCACTTCACTCGCGAATTCACACTTCCGTTTGTGAAGTCACTTGACACTGTCACATCCAAATGCCACTTTTTCGGTTTTCACTGTGTCCGATTGTCACTGAGTTCGATTGCGCACTACGAACATGTTCGATTAAATCGTCGCACTGATACCCGCGCAAATCACTGGCACAAATCGCGGGAATTCAACGATCGCACGATGATATCGATCATTGATTATTCACAGAGAGCGATCGCGATTTCTTACCGTACTTGTCGCGAACGCGTATCAAACAAGAATAAATACAATATACGGAAAGGCGCGGGCCACTTTAACTCGTTCGACTGTCGCCGCGTAAATGACCCTGAGTACGGCGTGACTTTGTTTCGGCGTAAAAACAACTCGGTCGCCGAGCCCCGGTTTCAAGAAATGACGTAGCCCGCATTCCTCGAGCGGCGTAAACAACTCGGTCGCCGAGCGTTTGTTCGCGTTCCGAGAAATGACGTAGCGCGGTGAACACCTCGCCCCTCGGTCGAAAACAGTCTATTGTACCAAATTATTCGGCGCGAGTCAGTCGAGCGAGGCGGGTGTTCCGCGCGTTTACGCCGTCGCTCCTCGTAACGCGATCAAGGTCCGGTTTCACCAACGTCGTTTAACTTATTAAGCTTAGCTCAACTCGTTCTTTCTCTCCTTCCAACTGTTACTTTAAAATGAGACAAACATGAATTAAACTAACAATAAGATTAAAGGTAAGCGATGTTTGGTGAAACCGAGCCTAATTCCGACGCGATCATTTCCTACGTGAATCTCGATCATCTACGCAACGCGATCGTTTCGTACGAGAGTGTTAACATTTATCAATCGCGTTTAAATAATTGTCGCGATCCGTAAATTATAATATATCAATCGCTTGCCAGGAAATAATCTCTTTAACAATTATACGTACAAAAGTGCGCGCATAATATAAAGTGTCTATTTTCGTCGCGTTCGGGAGTGCCGTTTAAATAATCGAACTAAATAAGACTTTTCAAAGCCCATTTGAACCATGGGATTTGTAAACGGGAGTGTAAAATCGCGCGAAACGATCTTTGTGTTCTCGCGAGTGTGCTGGAAGATAATCTGAGTGGAGGAGCAGGCCTGGGGAAGGCATCAGGCGCCGGCGGAGCAACTTTACGGTAATTGTTATTTTTCATTTTGTGTCAAATTAATCTTTTCTTTGGTTTATTGTTAAGTCGTTTTATTTCGTAAAGAAACATTTAGCGCCAGTAATTGATTAACCAATGTAGAAAATTGCACGCCAGCCATCGGTCGTCATGCAATTTTCCACATCGTTTTATTTCATAATTTTATAAATTCGAAATAATACTTAAAGGACGAGAAGTAATTTGAGATTTTATAAAAGTTTATTCTCGTTAATATCTCGGCTTTTGCGGAACACCTTTCGCGCGATAATTATCAAACCGAATAAAAAGTTTGATACGCATATGAATTATACCTTGCACTATTATTAGTTTTCTTGAACGCTATTTTAATATAAATCTTATATTTTTATGTTACAGACTTAACTTAGTTAAACTCCGCTGCTGCGCGTCGGGTGGTGAGTAAAAAAATTTTTTAATAAGGCAACGAATCTACATTTCGTAGATCGTAGATGGTAGATCATAGATTAGTATATCTCATAGATCCGTTGCCTTAAATTGGATAGAGTACACCATAATTTCGTATTTATTTTTATATATTTTATCTAACGAAAGAGAGTGATCGCGATTTTAACTGTAAAGGGTTGGATGTCCCGTTGCAGTACATCACATATTTTCATGCAAAATATGACGAACATTATTAATGTGCTCGTCGAGCTAATCTCTTGTAGTCTATCCATTTTTCATTAATAAATTTATATAAAAAGTAATATGACGTGAGATTCTAATATTTTGTCGAGAACGCTAAAACTTAATATTCTTTTCATACGTTATTTGAAATTACTGATTAACTGGAATATTCAATTGTCGGCCTATCGTACGGAAAGTTTCTTTTCTCTGGATCTCACGTCATTTATTCTGTATGTGCATCCCGCGATACACTTTCAAGATGCGACTCGCATGAATACATGCATATTAGTTACACGCATCTTTGTATTTTCGCGGTCGGTTTTCGCGATTGATTTTTCAAAAAATTTTCAAGAAATTATTAATTGTTTGATTTGATTAATATTACAAATTTTAATTTACCGCGGAATATAATTGAAATATATTAAAATTAACGCGAAGTAAATTTCCATATCTACCACATACTTGAATTTCGAATTTGGAGATTGAGTCACGAAGAGACAGTCATTATCTATTCTCGAATAAATAACGGAAGTAAAAATATATTTGATTAGTTTTGTACAGAAAAATTTTTTAATTAATTTTCTTTAATTAATTTCTCGTGTTCGTGCATTTCGATACGATCGACGCTCGCATATAGTTCGAACCGTACGAAATATTTGTCGGTTACGATAATAAACCGACTATGGAAGGAGTTTTCTTCCTTCCTGATCTCTGGTCAAAATGACCAGACTGTATGGCCAGGAGCAACGAAAGGTATGTCCAATCTGGCCCAACGATGGAATACGACGTTAGTGGTCAATATTGGCCACTTTGATGGAGTATGTGATTTCTTCTTATGTGCCAAAATTCGGGTGGGTTATATTCTTATCTTCTTTACACATTCTCGCGTACGTGCAAAATTAAAAAGACTCCTATTAAATCGCGCGCGTATAACTCCAAACCTCTTATAAATCGCGTCGCGGTTTTAACGAAAAACCTGTAGGTTTATTAACAAACAGTTGAAACGCGGGTAGGTAGGAAAATGAATAAGACTATACAGCGGAATACGGATAGGTAGGGATTCGGGCAGGCAGGGACAGGGGGACATTACTGCATAATTAAAGAGTTAGGTAAAATTATAACTGCAATGTATTACTAATACTTATATTTGTAATCGGATGCATATAATAAGATGGAAGTTGTTATGCGTTTAAGTTTTTATTTTAAATTTACTTAAAATTTTTGTAGATGTGATTTACTTTTAAGAGATCGTTAATAAATACATTCGGAATATTTTTCATCCCAAACATTCAATATGTATATACATATTTTACATTGCAAAAATTTCATGTTATTTTATGCATACCGAATATTTCATATGTAACCTCGAGAGAAATATTGTATTGTATAGATATTATATTTTTTATTTTATAATGTAATTATTTCTTTTATAATATCGTATACATTGTAAAGGAAATTACAAGAAATTATTGTATGCATATCACATATTCATGTGTAATTTTATGTTATAATGGAGTGTACCGTTGTACATATTTTTATTATATATTGTTTTTAGTTTCACTATATGTATAACTATATAACTTTCTTTTTCTGTGTATCTTTTTATATATTTTTTAAAGTAAATTGTGAAAAAATTAATTAGGTTATAGAATGTAAAAACACAATTTTATTGTAAAGAAAAGAGGACCGTCGAGAGGAATTCGACGGGGGTGGTGGAGGGCCTCTACAAGTTGACGTTTTTATCGGATAAAAACTTGATTCAAATCCAAAAGGGAGGCATCATTTTATTTATAACCAGGAAAATACAAAGTTATAATAAAATATATAGACAACCAAGTTTATCGAGAACAATACTATAAATTTTGTCGGCAAAAAGCGTACAAGTTTGATACAGCGGAACGGTGTACGCAGAAAATCGCAGAACGGAATTAGCCTTGACCTTTG